GGTTGACATGCTGCGGCGGCAGGACTAAGGACACGCCGCTTTAGTGTGTAATTTAATTGAACGGACATAACAACCAACGCAACGGGGCTGCGTACTCTGTGTGTGTATGTATGTGTGTGTGTGTGTGTGTGTGTGTGTGACTGTGTGTGTGTGCGGGACTAAAGAGTACTCTTTGCTTAATTGAAAGCAATTAAGTGGAAAATTGAAAACTTTGGCAGCCATAACGGTTGACGTCTGACCGCCATGCCCTGCCCACAGATATGCACATGCCCACACACACACACAGGGAGATGCAGACAATTGAACATTTGCATTTGATCGCCACGCCCACTTTGCACACTCGTAAAAACGCAGCGAAAAAATGTGCAGTCACGTACACGGCAGCGACGTCAACGCTAGCAGCGGCAGCAACAGCGGCAGCGGCAGCGGCGCCATTTTGTATGCTTCTGTCACTTTACATGCCACAACACACAATTGACAGCGCGGATATTTATGTAAATAATTTTTCGTGTTGCTGCAGCAACAGCAGCAGCAGCCGCAGCGAAGGACACAACAAAAAGAATCAGAATTTATAAAATGCATTTTGGTTGACGTGACCATGAGTCCACTCGGCTCTGCCTGCCCGCCTACGCCTCTTAACCCCTTGAATAAAACCCCCAACACAAAAGGTCCAAAAAGTTTGATTTCTCCCACTCGCAGCATTTGCCATGCATATGTACACCACAAGCCAAAGGTGCAGCCGACAAAATCCAATAAAATTGCAATTAACACTTTGAAAAATATTCAATTTCTAGTGACAGGAGCTAAAAGTAAAAAACTTTAACATTGATTTAATCTAACCCTCTAAATCAATGAAGAACTAACTTAAGTAACACTATTATTATAATATACTTTATACATACAGTATGTATGCATGTTCTATATACTAGCATGTGCGTATATGTATGTTTATATGAATGTATATATATACGGATGTAAATCTATGTTTTATGTATGTATATACGCATGTTTGTTAGTACGTATGTGTCTGTAAAATCATATGTATGTAAACATGTATGTTTATAGGTACATATGCATAAATATGCATGTATATACATATGTACATATGTGCATGTAAAGTATATATTCGTTCATGTATATTTGCATGTTCAAATGTATGTACATATATATGCACGTATGTATGTACGTATATGTTTGCTAAATGTATATATATGTATATATATAAAAATATTTTTGTTTATAGATTCCTTTTTTTTTTTTTGCATGCATATATGCATGTATGTATGTACATATGTGTGTAAAGTATAAACATGTATGTTTATATGTACAATATGAGTATAAACATGCGTGAATGTATGTCCGTTGTTTTGTCTAAAATGTATATACATACATGTTAAACATACATGTACATATGTATGAATACGTATGTATGAATGTATGTACATTTGCTTGTATTTACATTCCTTATGTCAAAAGGGAGTCAAATGAAGCTACCGCTGCTTTGCAAACTGTAACAAAAGTATTTTAAAGCATCGCCCTTCTATGCGAAACTCAGAAATCGTAATAAAGCTGCCAATTTTTCATGCTGTGATAGTAAAATGAACTGTTAAAGTAAACAAGACGTGCTGCCAACCTGATAAACGTTATTTCGGCTCACAGTCTCGCTCTAATTAACTGTCTTGCTGTCAATAAATTAACCGTGAGTGTGTGTGTGCTTATTCGGCTTAGTAAATTATATACTCACATACATATGAAGAGGAATATAATAAAAGGAAATTCAGAACTGACCACGGGTTATTTACAAGTATAACAATAAAATAATTAGCAAAACAGAAATCAAATTAGTAAAACTGTAGATTAATAAAAACTATAAATAAGATATTGTTGAAAGCCTGAAGAAAACAAATAACCTCTAAATGTAGAAAACTTCATTGAGCTTCTGCAAGTAGTTTTCACACGTTTTATATAACATTTTTCAAGTTGATCATTAAAAAAACAAAACTAAAATACACACACGTGAAGTTGTTCCTCATGGTGTGAGCGCATAATTTGCAGTAATTATGACGCATTACAAATGCAATTAATGCGCGTTGACAATTAATAATGCCAGAAGAAATGTGATGCAATTAATTGGAACTTTACGCACTGCATCCGACGTGCGACACGCCGCGACGTGCCAATAGGAAACACAGGTGGGAAAAGCTTTAATTTAAGTTAAGATTGGCACACAAGATAGCTTTCGAACAGGTAGAGGGCCGCACCGTCATTTTGTATAGACCCACGAAGGGGTGGAAAAACATTCAGTTGAGGGTGCGAAACATAATGGTAACATGTACCTCCAAGTCCAAGTCGTTTCCAAAAAGGGGCTATAAACATAAAAAGGGCACACATCGCGATCATAGACGCTATCATTTCCATGCTAATATATATCATTAGTAAATGTACAATAAAACTGGACAGAATATAAATATTTTGGTCTTTTTTGAGCGATGTGTACAAAGATATTATATACGTTATACAATTTGAATAAAGTTCATAAATTGAATGTGAATGGAAACGTAACGTAATGGAAACGTAACTGAAACTTTTGTAGGTGGTCAGTTTGGCAATTGCCATCGGGCACATTTTTCGTCTAACACAGGAAATATGCTCAAAATGTGGCCGTGTCGGTTGTTAGTCGCTGCTGCTGGCAGTTAAAATACAAATACACATAGAAATCCGAATACAAATTGGCTAGTGCAACAATATTACGGTGTTGTCAGTTGACTGGGCTAATTTGTCGGAAATGACGTTTTCGGTTTTTAGTGCGGAAGTGAGTGGGCGGATGGGGCTAGCATAGAGAAGTATGCAAAAATATGTGCGACAACGTAAAGGGGGTGTAGGAAATGCACGGTGTGTTATCCATTTGGCAAAAATATTTCAAGTCTTTGGACGACACTTTGCTTAATTGCGCGCTCAAGTGACGCCTGCTAATTTAATTAATTTCCACCTGAGCGCAATGGCCCAAAACTTTGGCAGCCCTCCTGTTGCCTCCGGTAACCCCGGACTACCATCTGGCGTGTAATACACGTAATTGAAACATTTCTTGACCAAAAAATAAAGAAGTCCAACCAAAAAGAAAAGTTACTTTTACCGCAATTATTTGGCACGTCTCCACTAATTAATTACGCCTTTTGGTCTGCCCCACTCAGAGTGGATGGGCGCGGGAGAGCGGTAGATAGAGCAGGGGTTTGGTAAGCAAGTTTAAAATGTCCACATTTAATTAAATATGGCCAAGCGGCTCTATAATTAATTTCGGCACTGCAATTTTTGTTTAAAGAACAAAATGCCGCATAAAACAGCAGAAAAAATAAGAGAGAAAAGAAAAAAGAAACTGAGGCAAATCTCAGGACGACATCTGCACGGGTTGCCCTGCTCTCTGGAGGAGCAGTCGGTGGGCATGGGCTTGGGCATTAAAGTGTCAATATCCATTAGGCGGTCCTGATTGCTTAAGCTGCTTTACGCCAAGTTCTTTTCTGCTTTACAGTTGGCAACTTTCTTACACTCCATCCATTCCACGTTCTCTCTCATTGTCTGGGTCTCTTGGCTTTTATTGTCCGTAGTCCGGACAGAGCACAATGACTCTCGTTGTTCTTGGGTTCATTGTTTCAAATGAGAAACGACGCGAATTGGTTAGAACGAAATGGTTAGAAATGCAAATTAGTGCGGCTAGCGATAGCACGGCAGATAAGCAGCCATTTGGGGCGGGAGATGGTAACATGGCAAAGCTCAAATACCCTAAGACTGACCCACAGAGGCAAGTTTCTATTTAGCTTAAGAAGTCTCCAAAAGAGGGAATAGTGCCCCGAATTCAAAAAGAGATTAAACAATTTGAACAATCGACTTTTATAATTTTGGAAAGTAATCCTAGTCAATATTCACTTAAGTAAATCAACATGAAATTCACATGTTCTTTTTGCAAATAGCCATTCTTTAAGTATTACCTTTCTTACAGCTTATGTATGTCCGCTTTTTAATACCCTACCTTTATGCTTGCTCGACAGAAATGAGAAAAATTGCAAGTAGCTAATCTTTGTCATCTGGTGCCGTGCCTGATTTGGGATTACTGGACAAAGTAAATGCAAAGAGCTTTCAAGTTTCAGGAATCTGAATTGGGGACAAAGGAATTGCGGGTCTAACGCTGCTTTAGCGGACTTGAGCTTAATTGCTAATTACACAAATTCGCGGTATGCGTATCCGCATCTTGGGATCGCCCAGCGCTCATGTGGGGTTGGCTTTCAGTCAGCCGTCAAGTCGTATTGGTGATTTATATTTAAGCGCAAACTTTTAACTTTAACCAAAATCCCTTGGCTGCCCGATTACTCTCCCTTCTATTGTTGTTGTTCTTGGTGGCTTTGAGCAGCGGCAACAACAACAACAACCCTTAAAAGCTAGGCGCTGCGTGGCCTGTCGAAGCTTGTGGTTCCCTTCAATTAACCTTTCATCTGTTTAACATGTATTATAAAATTAGACGCGGTCTAGTAGACCACACCATCGCTTGAGTGGGCGTGGCCCGCAGGGTCTGCCTAATGTATGCGCAACCACAGCCTCAAGACATGACAACACTATTAAACAATATGTTCCTGCTCCACAAATGCGCAGAGTGGGTGACTTCATGGGTCGCTGGGGTGTTTTGTTAATTAAGCAAGAAAACGACGTAGCAGGCATATGGTCCACCGCTTACCATAAACGAAATGCATTGGAAGTCCTTTAATCTCTTTTGTCTGCGTCTAACTAAGCCTGTTAAAGCATTCGACTATTTATATTATATTTGTAGCATTTAAACAATTTTTGAAAGTAGCGGGTAAGTCTCTTTTAGCGATTGGGCAGCACTAGTGCATGCCACTTCTTTGTAAATCAAATCCTTTGTACGTCAAAAGCGCGCTCTTTATTAGAACCAACAAATTTTCAGTGATGTGGCAGCACCACGCCTAGGTGGCAGCTTAACCGCTTGTTTTGTGTTGTTGCCTCTCAGCTGTTTATCAACCACGTCACATCGTCAATTCGCTTGCCGCTTATAAAAATCATGTAAATTTTCTTCTAAACGTAACTCTTTTTTCAATTGTTTGTGTTTGTCTATAAAATATGAAATTCGCCGATGTTTTACGTCGTCTGGATGCGTATCCGCGCACCCTAGATGATTTCAGCGTGCGCACAGTGGGCGGCGCCGCCGGTAAGTTTCATGTTTTGCCTATACCATAAACAAATAATCTAATCTGTTTCTTGTAATATAGTTACAATCATTAGTACCAGCATTATAAGCCTGCTTGTCTTTCTGGAGTTCCTCAACTACATGAAGCCGATGCTGAGCGAGGAGCTCTTTGTGGACACGACGCGCGGTCACAAGCTGCGAATCAACCTGGACGTCACGCTGCACAATTTGGCATGCAATTATATATCTTTGGATGCAATGGACTCCTCAGGTGACACACACTTGCGCGTGGACCATGATGTGTTCAAGCATCGTTTAGATCTCGAGGGACAGCCCCTAAAGGAAACGCCCATCAAGGAAATCGTGGCCGTTTCGCCGCCCAATAAGAACAGCACCTGTGGCAGCTGCTACGGTGCCGAGCACAATGCCACTCAGTGAGTGTATTCAAAGTGGATGCTCGCAGACTTCCCCTAACTATTTTCACTTCTTGTTTTAGCTGCTGCAACACCTGCGAGGATGTTTTGGATGCGTATCGGGTGCGCAAGTGGAACATGCAGGTGGACAAAATCGAGCAGTGCAAAGGAAAATACAAGCGCACCGATGAAGATGCCTTCAAGGAAGGCTGCCGCATACAGGGCCACCTAGAGGTCAACCGGGTAAGTCATGACAACAGCTCATCCAGATGAAAATGTGTATATATTTTTTGTATTTCGTTCAGATGGCAGGCAGCTTCCACTTTGCTCCCGGCAAGAGTTTCTCCATACGTCAGTTTCACATACACGACTTTCAGTTTACCAATGTGAAGCTCTCCCACACCATTAATCACCTCTCTTTCGGCGAGAAGATTGAATTTGCCAAAACGCATCCACTGGACGGGCTGCGCGTGGAAGTTCAGGGTGAGTACAAAGGTCATGCTTGGATTTGGCTTAACAACTCTTCTATTGCAATAACTTATACATAGCGTAAATTTTTAAAGCATTCATTCATTTTAAGATAACTTAAAAACTTAGCTTATGTTGAGGGTTTGGGGATACGGGAGAAGTGTAATTATTATCAATCAAAATGCAATCCGGGTCAGGTAGCTCTCAGCAACGTATGCCAGTGCCGATGGCCATAAAGGTGCCAAAAGTGCCGCCTCCTTGGATCATTACTTTGCCCACATTGTTTATTAGCTCGCGTCCACGTAGTCCATATCTAAAAGTTGCAGTTTCATATAATTAGCCGGCAATTACATAATCTGAGTGCGTGCAACACTTGCGTCACGCGTGGACAACGGCACGTTGGTTGAGGCTCACCTGAGTGCCGAGAAGCCGCCAAATAGAGCACCGCTGGCCATTCCCACACAGAAGCCAATGGTGAAGCCAGTCTTCATTTTGTCAAAGCATGTGGGTCCACTTTGGGAGAAGGAACCGCTGGGCAACGGCATATTGGCGATCTCCTCTGCGACTTGCGCGTTGTCTTGTTCGTATTGCAAGACTTGTTTGCGGACTTCAATTTGTTCTTATTTGGATTATTATCTGAGCTTTTTAGGCGTTCGTCTTCCAAATTTGCCCAAAAAACTGAAATTTTAAGTTTTGTCGGCGCCGACTTAAAAAAACAATTTTGTTATCCCAATTTGTAGCTGTCAAAAGGTTAACATGTGTGTCAAAGCAGCCCTGGCGTTAAACTTTAGTTTTAAGCCGCCAGATGGCGCTTTTGAGCATTGGACTTTATAACAGAATGACACTTCACTGTACCGGCAATTATTATGTATAATTTGCAATTCCAATAAGTTTTGAAAATTTGAATTTTTATGAAAGTGATATTATTTTAATTGTATCGTTGTAGAATCCAAAAGTGAAATGTTCAACTATTATTTGAAAATTGTGCCGACGCTCTATGAGCGGCACAGCGACGGTCAGCCCATATATACAAATCAGTTCTCGGTCACGCGGCATCGCAAGGATTTAACGGATCGGGAGCGTGGGATGCCGGGCATCTTCTTTAGCTATGAGCTCTCACCGCTGATGGTCAAGTACGCCGAGCGGCATGTGTAAGTAACTGCTGGGTAAAGGTTTCAAGAAGTCGGTAATCATATATAATATGTCCTGCAGCTCCTTTGGTCACTTTGCCACCAACTGCTGCTCGATTGTTGGCGGCGTCTTCACCGTGGCGGGCATTTTGGCGGTGCTCCTAAACAACTCGTGGGAGGCCCTTCAACGTAAACTGGAAGTTGGCAAACTCAGTTAGCGAACCAATATGTGGACTATTTCGAGAATCTCTCCAGCTTTATTAGGCCTAACAAATTCCGAAGCTCATCGAATATCTCACAATGCCGACAAATCGCTAAATAAAAATGCTTAATTTTATAAGCAGTTCGCGGTGCCTTTAAGTGGTTCGCTTGCCCACGGACAGAAAGCCGGATGTATTCGAGAAATACTTGGCTTCGGTATGGGATCTCTCCGCCGCTTGAGGATTAACTATTTCCAGGCCCTGCAGTGGAGTAAACGCCACGCTGGACGCAGTGCCCGATATTTGACGCTTAACGGTCGTGTTGCCGCCGTAGACCTGCTGCTTTTGCAGATTCTTCTGCAGGGTCTTGCTGATGCGCACCTTTGTCTTCTCATCCAGCTGCGGCAGTCGAATGCGGCCAGTGCCTGTTTTGCCAATGGTGCCCCGCGAGTAACCCAAATCGCCCTGATAGGCGTCCTCCTCGATCTGCAAGGGCGATAAATTGTTAATAATTTAACAAGCAAATCGAATTGCCATGCCAATGCACTTACATCGCCAAAGTTCATGCGATTCGCCTGCTTGCGGAATTCGGTTAGCGCGTAGCGTTCCTTCATCTTGCGTACACGCTTGCCGCCGCGCTTCTTCTTGCTGCCCTCGATGGGTTTCGGCAGCGGCTTGATGAACTTCACCGGCGGCGGCTCCTGCAGTTTGTCCAGCTTCTTTTCGATGTCCTCCTTGAACTTCAGACCAATCTCGCCATGCACGCTCTCGTGGCAGGCATCAACACGCGCTGCTAGCACCGACTTGGCAGCCACAAGACGAGCCGCTTTGCGTCGCAAATCCGGCGCCGTATCCTGCACAATCTGTGAGTAGTAGACGTAGCCCGTGTGCGGCAACATTTGTGTCTGCGAGAAGCCCGAAAGCGTCTTCTTCTGGGAGCCCAGCACCTGCACATTACAGGCTGGCATTTTGGAGAGCTTAGTCAGGCCGCCAGCAATGCCCAACAGTTTGGCAGCTGTGGAGGCGCCCACAATCATGGACAGGTTGGGCGCTATGAAGGTCATACGGCTCTCCACGTACTCGTAGATCTTGGATTTAAAATTGTTCAGCTCAATTGCCATCTCGCACGCCTCATCGATTTTTGCCTTCTCCGCGGGCGTTAACATGGTGCTATGCAAAAAAGGCAAACGATTAAATGCTAAAGGTGGTACTAGGAACTATTACTTACCCCTGCGTGGTGGATGCAGTGACCGAGACTATCATGATGGTGGCCTGAGTGAGTATGGCCTGCAGCTTTTCATTGTTCTTGACCTGATCCAGATCATTGCCCAGCTCCTTGACAGCCAGCAAGTATTCAATTTCGCCCACGATTAGCGAGTCGAGCTCCGGAAAGCGTTTCTGATACTTTTCTTTGGTGAACTTGTGCACTATAGATATCTCATTGTCAATATCCACGGCAATCGCATTCGCATCCACAATCAGACAGTATTCCGGATCCGATTCCACGCTGCCCAACATTTCGGCGGCGCTGCGCTGCCGACTTGCATAGTGCTCGATTTGCTTTAGAGTGTTCTGTAAACGCTCCGAGTCGCGCAGCTTGCACAGCTCCCGCACTGATTGGACTGTTACGTCCACTTCCATGAGATTTGGCCCCGGTTTCAGCAACTTTTCAGCGAGCTCGTGGTTGAGTGTTGCCTGCTCGACATCGTCTGCATCGGCCATTTCGGCATCGTCGACGTCATTGTCATTGTCCTCCTCTAGATCTGCAAGTAGTTCATCCGCTAGCGACATATTTTATTTAACTTTTTTGCTTTTCCGGCCTTTTGATATTTTTCGAGTTTCGTTGTAAACAAAACGTTTTAGGCGTTGCCAACGACAGTACAGATGTTTTATTTTAGCGTTGCCACACTTTCGCAGTTTCTCGTTGCCACTTTACTGAATAACAGCTGTGTTATGTTACGGCACTGTTATTTCTCTGCTATTGATTGCCGCTCAATTTTGGCGCAGATTTTTGGCGTCGTTTGTTTTTTTTGGTAATCGAGGTTAGTTCGCCCGTCTGGGCGCTTGAAAAATGTCCAAGAAACTAAATACTAGCGCTGGTGGCACGCCAAAAAACACTCTATTTAACTACTTTGCCAAATCGCCAGCAGTTGACAAAAAGAAACTCACGCCCAGCAACGGCGGTGACAGCGAGCTGCAAAAGGAGAACTTGCAGAATGGGAGTCTGAAGAATGTGAAAAAGGACGCCAAGCCGGCTGCCAAACGCAAGTTGGTAACTTCAGGCAGCCCTGACAGTGAGAAGGAGCAGGAGAAAGGCCAACGTAAGCGAAAACGTATTATAGTGCCCGAATCAGAGAGCGAAGAAGAATACGAATCCAAATCGGAGCCGGACTTTTCCGATGATGGCTCCGAGTATGAGCCAGATGGCAAGGATGCCACCATCAGTGAGGAGAGCGAAAGTGGCGACGAGGAGGCGGAGCCCAGCGAGTTGGAAACAGACGACGATCCCACGCCCAAGAAGCAGCGCACAAAGGCTTCGAAAAACCACATAAACAACAACAACAACGATGAGCCTGCCAGCAAGAAGGCCAAGCTTGATGCTCCTGTATTAGCTGCCGGCGGCACGTTCATGGAAAAGCTGCAACAGCTACAAAGCAATGCCAAAAAGGACGCTGCGTACGATGAAATTGTGACAACAACATCAAATATGGATGAACCAGTTGTGTGGCCACATCAGAAGCTGGACTTCCTGCAGCCTGACAAGATTAAAGACAAGGCCGGTAGGCGACCAGATCATCCCGACTACGACAAGAGCACGCTGCACGTGCCCGAGAAGTTTCTCAATGGACTGTCGCCGGGCGTGCGTCAGTGGTGGATACTCAAGTCGGACAACTTCGATTGTGTGCTCTTCTTCAAGGTGGGCAAGTTCTATGAGCTGTATCACGGCGATGCCGATGTGGGCGTAAATGAGCTGGGCTTTACCTACATGCGCGGCGAATTTGCCCACTCTGGCTTTCCAGAAATCTCCTTTGACAAGATGTCCTCCATACTGATAGACAGGGGCTATAAGGTGAGCACAGAAAGTAAATTCTGAACACAAATCTAACAGTTAGTCTTTCTTGCCCAGGTGGCACGGGTGGAGCAAACCGAAACTCCGGACATGATGACCGAGCGCTGCAAACGTATAAAGGCCACAAAGTTCGACAAGGTTGTTGCTCGTGAGATCTGTCAGATAACGGATCGTGGCACCCAAGTGTTTGGCTCGCAGTGCGCCATTGGACCCAATCATCAGCCAAATTATATGTTGGCCATAGTGGAGCAGGATGCGGGCACGAGTAGCAAATATGGCATCTGCTTTATAGACACTTCCATTGGTGATTTCCATGTGGGCGAATTCGATGATGACAAAAGCTGCTCTCGCCTGTTGACGCTGATCTCCCATCACATGCCTGTCCTGGTAAGTACAAGTCTATTATATTGACAAAGTAAACCAATCGAACCCTTATTCCATTCTTAGCTGCTTCACGAAAAATCAGCGCTTAGCTCTCGCACGCAACAAATTCTACGCACTGTGCTCGGCGGCATACTTAAGGAGCAGCTGCCTTCTGCTGGCAACCAGGTCTGCAGCGCTGAGAAGACGCTGAAGTTGCTAGCGGAGCGCTACTATGCTGGCAATGGCACTGAGGACAACTGGCCATTGGTGTTGCGCACCATGCAGTCGGACACGGATCACCTGGGCCTCACGCCTGCGGACCCCTACAAGCTGGCACTCAAAGCTCTGGGTCAGTGCATTCACTACATAGCTAAATGTAAGCTGGAGCCTAAAGTCCTGCCCATGGCGCGTTATCAACTGTATGTGCCGCCCGATCAAGAGCAGGAGGCGAACACCAAGCAACCGCTGGCTGCTACACTGCGTCGCTCTCACATGGTATTGGATGCCACCACATTGTCTAATCTGCGCATTGTTGGCGAGGAGCATTCGTTGCTGTCGACGCTGGATCATTGCTGCACCAAGTTTGGGAAGCGGCTGCTGCATCACTGGCTATGCGCGCCCAGCTGTGATTTGATTGTACTGCGTGAGCGACAGGAGGCGATTGGCGAGCTGCTGCGTCAGCCCGATGAACTGCAGCAGTTACGTGCTTTGTTGGCGCCTATGCCGGACTTTGAGCGGCACTTAGCTCAGATTCATCTGTTTGGCAGTAAGCGCATTGCCCAAACTGAGCATCCAGATTCCAGGGCCATACTCTTCGAGGAGAAGCTGTACAACAAACAGAAGTTGCGCAGCTTTATGAGCATACTCAAGGGATTCGAGACTCTCATGAAATTGCCGGTCATGTTTCAGACATGCGAGACGAAGCTAATGCAGCGTTTAACTCAGTTGCCACCCAATGGGGGCAGCTATCCCGATCTCAGCAAGCAGCTGAAGTTCTTTGAGAATGCCTTCGATCATGAGGCGGCCGACAAGACGGGTGTTATTGCGCCGCAGCCAGGCGTGGATGCCGACTACGATGAGGTGCAGCAGCGCATAGCAGACGTCCAGGAGCGCCTGAAGATTTATCTTACTGAGCAGGAACGTCATTTTGGCTGTCGTGTGGTATACTTTGGCTCGGATAAAAAACGATATCAGCTGGAGGTGCCGGAGTCGCATGCGCACAAGGCCAACAAGTCGTATGCACTGGAGGGTCAGGTCAAGGGAAAGAAGGCTGCGCGTCGCTACACCACAGCGGAAACGAAGGCGCTGCTGAAGGACATGCAGCAGGCAGAGGAGGCGAGAAATGCGGTGCTCAAGGATTTGGCTCGTCGCCTCTTCGAAAAGTTTTCCAATCACTATCAACAGTGGAAGCAGTGCATCGACTGTGTGGCTACGCTAGATGTGCTCGCCGCCCTGGCGGAATATGCGCGCCAGCAATTGGTCATCTGTGTGCCGGAGCTGGTCTCGGCACAGCAGGCACAGCCCTTCATTGAACTGGAGGAAGGCTATCATCCATGCGCAAATCCATCAACTTACATACCCAATGGCCTGCAGCTGGGCACTAACTCGGAGGCACCGTTATCATTACTTACTGGCCCAAATATGGGCGGCAAGAGCACGCTAATGCGACAGGTCGGCTTGTTGGTTATCATGGCACAAATTGTAAGTAGTACTTGGCTCGGACTTGTCGGCTTAGATAACTCCTTTTGTTGTCTTCCAGGGTGCTCATATTCCTGCTGTCAGCTGTCGGCTTTCGCTTGTGGATCGAATTTTCACACGTCTAGGCGCACAGGATGATATACTGGCCGGTCACAGCACCTTCCTGGTAGAGCTTAACGAAACGTCACTTATACTGAAGCATGCCACGTGCAACTCTCTGGTGCTGCTCGATGAACTGGGACGCGGCACAGCCACTTACGATGGCACCGCTATCGCCGCCTCTGTGGTCAACTTTTTGGCCAATCTCAAGTGTCGCACACTATTCTCCACGCATTACCATAACCTGATTGACTTCTTTCACACGGACAAAAGAATTACACTAGGCCATATGGCGTGCATGGTTGAGAATGAGGACAACACAGATCCCACACAGGAGACAGTCACCTTCCTGTACAAATACACAGCGGGTGCCTGCCCCAAATCGTATGGCTTTAATGCAGCCAAGCTGGCAGGCATGCCACACGGCATTATCAAACGTGCCTACGAGGTAAGTTGTGGATTTAATTTCGCATCAATTGCAATTATAACTCTCATTCCTTGAACGATAGCTATCCAAAAAAGTAGAGGCCATTGCACTTCAGCGCAAAATTACAGCTAAAATTGTAGCAGCAGCTGCAGGTGATGTAAACAAAAAGACGGATAAACTAAATAACTTGAAAGATTTGCTGCAGCAGCTGAAAATGTGTCATGTTTAGATGCCAGCTATGGAGGAGGCTAACAAAAGAAAAGTTAAGCAAACATTTGTTCATTTTTCTTGTCATATATAAGCACAGCTTGTTTTGCTGTCTTAGATGTTTGAGAAATATTACGTATACGTTGCTAAAGCCAATGAAATTCCGAACGATTGCCATAGGCTGATTATTATTATGCCGTATTTTCATTTAAACTATAATTTTTTTTTTTTTTTCATAAAAACGTTGCCATTTGTTGTATTTGTTGCCATTGTTTATTTCATCTTTCATTATCACAGTAAAAATTAAAAATTAATTGAATTCACAATCAAAATACACATATGATATTATTAAATGCTTACAAATTAAACATTATCGAATAAATATTGCCAAGAATTGTAAAAACACACAGTTCAATTCAAGTTCACAACTAAAATTAACAGTTATACACAGGACTGAAAACGTAAACAATGAGAAGAGTTACACGTTGATTAAGTACATACTAAATACAATAATATTGCGAAAGAAAACTAAGAGAGCCAAGCTGCAGACTTCGGCAGACCGAAGATTTTATACCCTAATCCAACCAATGCCATTTATAATAAGTATACTTTGCAGAGCATGGCTAGATATTGAGCATATAGACCTGGCTTCTTGAAAGCTTTACAAACAATTATTATTAAAGAATTATATTATTCTCAGCGAGTGTATAAAAATAGGAATGTTGTTGTTGTTGCAGTCTAAAAGCTAACGACCAGATTTAAGCTCAGCCTAAGCTGAATACTGCGCGACTTTGTGCGATATTATTAACTACAACTATTGATCCAACTAAAAGCGAAGCTATTGGAACTAAGGTCTAAATCGAAACTATCTATAAGCCTGCAAATTAAAAATATCTTGACTTTGTTGCTTACAAAATGCTTACAAAACGATTTATAATTATATATATGTAGTCGTATATATATGTATGTATGCTCTATGCTCAGCTTACTTCATATATATATATGTGTATATATATATATTCCGCTACTGAACATATATTTGTGTGTCCGTTTCGTCTTTGGCCTAGGCGCTAAATTGGACTTGCTCTTTGAACAACTGAAATACACATAAGTACCGTATCATTTGTATAACTAGGCTAATTTCTCTTATTTATTTGGTATTGTATATGTTACAATGATCTGCTCGGGATCTTTAGTCTATATATAGGCTAGTTTCTATGCGCTTTTTTCTCTCATTGTATTGAACTGTCCGTAAGCGGTTGTATCAATCCTGGAAGGAACATGTTTATATTCCTCGATTTATACCGAGGCTTTTGCCCCATGCTCGTTTGATTTTCGATTTGCTCATGCTTAATACATGCACGCATATATCTATATGCATACATGCATTTGTATTTGAAGCGATTAGTTGCACTTAGTTCTAGCTAGAAAACAAGTACGTTGCTCGCGGTTCTGACCCGGTTCTTCGTTAAAACATACCTACAAAAACAACAACAACAATATATACTTAAATATATATAGCGACACGTATTGGATTTTTTGATTATGTAATGACACCGGCGCCGTCCACTATCTGGACGATGACCCCATTTCACTCATCGCTAATCACATCCATGCGCGCCTTGAAATTCCGCCATGAGCCCGAGGTGCAGACGCCGGCGCCACGCCACCAATCATTGACATCGGTGTACCAGGACGACTTGCGCAGCTGATCCTCATTGTGCAGCGTGGAGCAGACGCGGCACCAGAAGTACGTGTTGATGAACTCACCGGTGCCCTTCCACTTGAAGTACGAGTTGTACAGCTCGTCGTCCTTGTCGAGTATATGCAGATACTCGGCCAGCTCTTTGGGCGAGGCAAACTCGTCGACGTGTATGTAGGATCGACGTGGAGCACTCACCTCGTAGTCCTCGGGTCGGGCGCCCATTACAATTGGCAGCACCTTACGATTTAGCGCATTCACAAAGAACTTTTCCGTGATGTAATCCTTGCAATTGGAGTTCTCGAAAGCCAAATAGAACTTGTAGTCATTGTCGAGTATGTCAAAGCATTTGTCAGCGGTGCTTCGAGGACATTTGAAATTCCCACAGCCGCCATATATATCCACCTATGAGTGAGTGAAATATAAGCGAGATTAGAATATGTCGAGTTGAAATCAAATCAGTTAGTTTTACAACTAAATTGAATCAAGCTCTTTGAAGAATAATACAACTTTTTGATCAAGTAAGGAATCCTTCCGTTTATATAATCTCAATACCTTCTGGAGTAATGTTAAAAGTACTTGATCAAAGGATATTTTTTATGTTTCTTTAGGGAACACCTACAAAATGATTCTTTGGGACATTCCCTAATTGTCTGCTTTTCCGATAATTACCTCAATGTGTTTTTGTAGCTCATGTGCGTACTGCAGTCTGCCATTGCGTGCACCGCAATTGGACACAAACCAGGCAACCTTTTTCGTCTTGTTGAGCGCATAATTGTGATCCTGTTCCAATTGCTGTACCTTGACATCATAGTATTGCCATTTTTCGTAGGGGGCCATCACAGTGCTGTCACGTCTTAGAAAGAAAGGAAGGGAAAGAAGGTCAAGGTTTTGCCTTTGATGTAGGAACTCTAGATTTGTGTCCAGACAAACTAACCTACTCCCTCGCTCGAAAATTACGTTTTTGTATAAGAAAACTATTTGTGTACCAATATATAGCCACCAAACTGAGCAGAGTTTCACTTACCTATATGTGGCCGTCCAGTTGATGGCATCCGGCACCTTGACGTTTTGTGTGTGATATGGACATTCCAGATAGTACATCATGCTGACCTGCTTACGATTGCTGGGCCGTCGTATGCCCGTTGGTATATAGTTATCCTTATAGAGTATCATATCTGCCACACTGGCCAGATCCCGATTCGCTGACAGTTCGCAAGTGTCCACAGGACACTTAGAGCGCAGAAAGACCTCGCGCCCCTTCTTCACATTCCACGGACCCAAGCCATTGTACAACAAAATGGTTTTCAGCTTGCCACTTAACTTGATCTGCTCGTAATTGTGTGGCACATACATTAGCTGATTGACGACGCGATCGCTGTGCGGATCCTGGTGAGGAAAGAGTTTGGGCGCATGCTGTTTGCGTGCCTTGCGATTGCTGAAGGCTTTTGCGGGCCTGGGATAGTACTCGCCATTGCGAAAGAACCAGGGCTTGGCCGTGGCCGCCAACTCTCCACGTTTATCCGCTGAGGGATCCTCCTCCTCCCCCTCGCCCGCCTCAGCCTCCAGCTGCTGCTGCAGCAGATTTTGGGCCTGTTCAGGCCCAGGCACAGGCGTAGCTGGCGGCGCTGAAGCGTATGTCGAGGTGGCTTCCTCCAGAGACCAGCTCTTCACTTCATTTGTTTCCACGCCAAAGACATGTCGCTGTTGCTGCTGCTGCTGCTGCTGCTGCTGCTGTTGTTGTTGTTGCTGCTGCTGCTGTTGTGAAGCTGTCAGGGCGGGTCGCGTTATGTTCGACTTCCATATTTCATATTCCCTAAAAGTTGTGATAAGTTAACATCTGACATGAACTTCATTTCGCTTAATGAGAACTCACTTGAGATTGAAGCCGAATATCAGGAGCAGCGCACAGATCAACGTAAAATAGAAATACTTTTTGAGCGATATTTTTGGTCGTCGCATTCTGATAAATCAGCCCTGTTCCCAGCACCGACTCCAACACCACCCGACTTAGTCTGTCTGTCTGTATTTATGCCTTCCTCGTTGCCTTCCAACTAGGTCACCGACTGCTGGGCTTTGAACTGGCTACCACCGACTCAGCCAGTTAACTTGGTCATTTTGCTGTAAAATGTTTGTAAACATTGAGAAATTATAGAGCACATAACTACATGCACTCGTATATGATTTATATATACATATATACTAAAGATCAGCGCTCGATTATAATAACAACAGTTACCGACTAATTACCGATGTTAATGATCTGTATTGTCAGCTATACGATGCGTTTGTGTTTCTCTGTTTCGGGGTTCTGGCTCTGCTCTGTCGATCTATTTTAGTCATATGGTAGTACAACTTGCTGTTCGGTTGCGTTCACATGAGTAACTGTGCTTAGCCCTATAAAGTATATCGAGTCGAACTGTTGGTACTCGTTGTCGTGGCTTGGCGCCGCTTCATCAACTCAATTGCGTCATGTTATCTGCAATATTATGACACATATCCAAAAGGGGGCGGGGGGCGTTTCAAGACCTTATGATAATTCTGATAAACTGCCCTTAGCTGGCAGTTTCCATGTCGTTACAGCTGACCGAAACCTGGGAGTGTATCCGTCTGTGTTCAAAATTCCCACCAGGTGCTTCAAGCAACAAATATGTATATATAAATTTTAAAATTTCGTATAGGTGGCAGTCTGTAAATATTATGCAATGAACTTGCATTTTAGCGCCCAATTGGAGGCACTGAAAAATGACACTGAGAGAAAAGCGGCAAACTCGTTCTTGAATTAAGTAAATTTATTGCTTAGTTCTAGATATGTTCTAGACGAACTTTAACTAAGTACAAAATGTCTAAGCTAATATTATTTTCTATTTAGACAAACAACAGTCCACATTTTGCACGCTTCATTTAACGTATTTTTATTATTTAACTAACCGCGACTGATGTCCGTATTGCTTTATACCCTACAGTAAAAGAGGTCATAATGAGTTCTGTTAGGGATTTCGAATCCTGATCAGTCTGTCTTCCTTAGCGGCACTCTCGAGTAAAGAACTCTCGAATTGTCTGTCCGTTCCAACTGCCTCGAGGAGATGTGCCAAATAAAACAACGGGGCGTATGCGCAATAAATGAAACTATGGCTAGATAAAGCGAAAGCTTTTGCTTTTTATGAGTCACCCCGCGGGCAACTAATTACAGTGGCAAAGCAGGGCTTTGCCCGGATACGGAACAGCTTATGCAGCTTCATTAAAGGCATTGAGCAATGAAAGTCGTTGAACTAATCAGAGGCAAACCCCTTGCTGCGTTCTGGCCATCCATTCAGACAACCAGCCAGCCATCCATCCGTCTATCAAACGTCATTTACGGCACTATTTTACATATTTCTTTCGAGGCTGACTGTGTGCTCTAGCCTGCGGTTGCAACGAGTTGTTGGGGTTGCAGTGGGCTGCATTCCGTGTTGGGGGTTGTTGTGGCGAGGCACTCGAGTAAGTTACGAAAGTATGGCAACGGCGGGGAGCGAGGGAGGGGGGGGGGGGTCTCTTGTCTGCTTGTCTATCGCACGTTTTGACGGTTTTGACAGGCCACACAGACGAAGACGAGGAATATTGCCCAGGCCCAGAAACCAAGCAACTCCACACTCATCAAAAATGTAGTTATAGCCATTCATTCATGTTGCAAAAGTAGGACTTTAGTGGCATGTCGCATACAAAGGAAGGGATATATACATAGACCATGCTCGTAAATATGTGCCTGTCTGTGTGTGTGTGTCAGGGTGATTCCTGCTTTCTGGTGGCTGATGATTGTAGATACTAGAACATTGCCTTTCACTCACGTATGTATATTGTGGACTCCCCTTCTGTTATTCATTTATTCGTTTCACAGTCCCACTCTACGCGTTCGCCTATTCGCCCCGCTTTAATCGGAACTAAACAATTTGAAATTTCAAGCCCAAATTTGATAAGAAACGCCTAAAGCAAAACATTTTCAGCACGTATGCAGCCATCTAATCAGCTTATGGAATTCTCGCTCGTAACTGCAAACATTGGAAAAGAGAAAAAAAAAACCCCAAAAACATTTTAACGAAATGCTCCATTTGAATTCCTAAGAACTTGGAACATACAAGCAATAAAGTATAAACATAGCCTTTATCTGCCCAAGATATGTTAGGCACTGATCTGTCTAGATAAAAACCTAACAATTGCCAGATTTTGGTCTAATTAAAAAGAGTTTGACAAAAAACTGACATTTTTGAGAATGAAATTGAAAAGATAGAAAATAGTTTGCACATTTCACTCTAATCCAGGCAGCTCTTTCGATATGTCATGTCCTTTCCTAATTGCTCCAATGGGAAGCCCTAATTTTAACTGCACTGGCAATTAGCCCCCCCCCCCGCTCCCCACGGGCAAACACCTGCTCCAAGGCTCGCTCAATTTATATTTATTTATATTTGGTTGCAGCTCGTTTGTGGTTTGTGTGTGTGGCCCATTGTCAGGGCACTTGATACCCTGCATTTAGTGTGTCAATATGCCTATAGACGGCCAACTCTTGACTTGCATGCATTGTTGTCATATAAATATTCTGTGGGCCATGCTGGGGCATGGTGAGTGTCCCTTTTGTTGTCTGTACTTTGCACGTTGTCGCACTCGACTCTGCCGCCCGTGGGAGGTCTGAAAGGCAAATAGGCAAATGGGGAAACAGGCTTCCGTTTTAGGCCTGTTAGTTTTGTGTATAGCGTCTATGTATGTGTTTAGTAATACGCTTATATTTTTAGCCTTACACACACACACACACACACGCACACACACAGTTGCACATGTGAGCATAATTACAATGCGGCTTACGCACAATTTATGGCTCCCGCTCTCCCGTTTACAGTTAGTGGATTTCCCCTGCCAGTGGCAACGCCAGCAAAGTGCAACATCGGCAGCTTTGGCCATAGCAGAACAAATAAACTTGGGCACTTGCAATCCGAGTTCTGTGGGAGACTGGCGACTCACTCACCCCTTCAGCTGTGGGAACTAACGGTTACGGTAGTACACACGCACATGTGTCTGGCTGCGTCATGTGTGCGTGAGTAAATGGCTTTTGCTTTGTCTTAATCAATAATACTGTTGTTTAACATTATAGCCTGTAGGTTAAGCAAAACATTTAACCTCAAAGGTCATTAACTGTTTTCTAATAGCCTTTGGTGTTTGATTTACAACTCAACTTACACAATTGCGGGTTGATGAGTCTTTCGTTTGGCTTAGCACAGATTTGGCTTGGTTCTAGTTAATGAAAGCCACGATCTCTGCTTAATCTGAACATATTTTGAACGTTTCTGTACATTTCTTGATGTTGTTTTTCTATTTGCACAACACCCTACAAACACACGCACAAGCGAGCATACACACGCCGTAGCAGAAGGCGCGCCTTTCGTCCTTTACGTTTTCACGTAACTTTTGCAACTGCGCCGCCAATGTACATAATAATTAGACTTGAACCAGACAGCTGGGCAGCAGCCGCAGTAAGCAAGAGCGACGGAGAGAGTGAGAGTGAGACTGAGAGCGGGATGCGAGTGAGAGCGGGCAAAGATGCCACTCATTAAGCCGCGCCAGTGTACCCAGATTTTTATGTTCAATAACATTAATAAGCAGATTATATGCTTATATGAGCGTTGCGCCTAAAAGATGCTTTAACATTATTAAAGTATGCTGCATGCATCAATAACTATCAATAACTGCAATTTGTTTGGAACTAGAGGCGCATGCGCTGCTTGCGCTCTTTGAAAGTTATAGATGACAGACAGAGAGAGAGAGAGAGCGAGCGAGAGAGCGATAGGGCCACGCTGAGAATGAGCAATCAAATAAACAAGCGACGCTGCGGCTGAGACGTCGACAGCTGTCGGTGACTGCGCGCCTTATCAATACAATGCATAGGGCGGGTTTTTTTTCTGCGCCACCCCATTTGATGTAGATGTTGGTTTGTGTATTAGCTAAATGTCCCTCTCGAAATTACATTCGAATTTCAAATATAGCTATGCCCTAAGAAAAGTGTAGTAAGAAGTTTTCGAATTTATAATTTGTTCGATTTATTATAAAATTTTGCAGTTAATTACTATTCCATTAAGATAGTTAATTTGAAAGGCCTTCACGTTGATCGTTTTGTATATTGGGTTAAATTCACATCACTTATACTAGACTGCGAAGAGCAGGTTTACTCAAATTTTCAATTGAATACTCTTGACTTAGCTAAGACTTAGTTATAGTACAAATATAAGATATACATACACACACATAACACACACTGTTTTCCCTTTAAAGTTCAAATATGTTCCTCTTTAAAAATAGACATCTATAATATAATCTTAGTTGCAATTGTCTTTAGCTTAGACTATTTAAATCTATTGTGGCTATAGCTTAGCCAGAGCTAAAGGTCTCGTAAACATTGGCGCCCAACATTTTCGATTTTTCGGATACCACATAGAAGCTAAGCAACTGGGTGGGCAGATTGTGTGGCCGCGCAGAGCTGTCGTAGCCGTGCGATGTGAGTCCACTGATAATGGGTATTAGTTTGGCCAGAGCGACTAGCACCCTATTAACGTCCAGCAGGTTGTTGTTGTTGCTCTGTTTGCTTTGGCCATTCATGGGCTGCTGCTGCTGCAGCTCACCGGGCGCCAAATGTTGCAGTGTGTCACCCATGGACTCCGCAATGGCATCACAACTGAGCACAAAGCCGCGACTCACGTTATGCGCGCACACGCCAACGCAATCCTCACTCTCGAGCAGATCAAGCGTCTCGTTGTACATCTGCTGCAGCAGCGGGGAGCAGTTGAATCTCTCCTGCAGGCGGGTTAGATCTGGCAGCAGGTACTTACTCATCTTGGAGTTGGGATCGTGTCGCGTGTCGCCATTGATGGCCATTTGCAGCGACCAGAATATCTGCTCCGTATCGGCCAGAGTCAGTTGACGCGTCAGCGGCATTGATTTGAGCACTTCCACCACTTGACTGCGTATAAATCGCGCCAGATCCCTGATACCATCGTGCGTGATGAAGTGGCGTATCAGGGACAAGTACTGCTGTTTTAGTTCGTCGGTTATTTGCCGCTGTTCTGTCATAATATCCCGATAGATGTAGCCACCCAGCAGATTGAGCTGGACACGCAGCGCAATGACCAGCATCGAGGAGGCATACACAAAGGTAGCCAGCCGCGTGAATGATACAATTTTCATTTGCTCCCAAAGCTCCAGTTTGTTGGTAGGATTCTGGCGCAGCTGCTCGAGCAGCTCATCCGTGCTGCACTCGTGCAACACCGCCTGGCACATTTCCTCGCCCATGCCCAGTATCACCTGATTGCAGGTACGCTCCGTCGACTCGAAATGGTGCATTCGTCGCGAACGTTCGAAGAATTCGCGCGCCTGCCGCTCCTGATACTCCACGAGCTTGCGCTGCGCATAACGTGCCGCATAGATGGTGCCTCCCACCAGAACCCCAGTTACAACGAATTTACGTCGATGGCGTGTCAGAAAATCTTGCAGGCGCGACAACATGATGAGCTCCTATCCTCCACACTAGCAAAACCTTTAAAGTTTAATCGGGGCGCTTCTTGGGAATAGCGACAGCTGCCGTTGCCTCCACCTCTGCCTCTGCCGTCAGCCTCTATAACCGCCCCTGCAATATGAAAGTCTATGAATACTTAATGTACAAAGTTCAAATATTTTAGTGTGAGTCGACCACGTCGGTGACTTTGGTCAGAACAGATTAGATTAGCCTAACACCGACGAAATACTCACAAATTCTTTGCGTAAAATGTTTATTGACAACTATGCCGTGTTTGTTCTGCTTTTATTTTCCAGTGCGTCCCGGCCCCAAGTGTCAAGAAATTTTTTATTGATTTCGGCTTGGAGCTTTGAAACGTCGGTCCTTTTCCTGGTCGTGTTTATGCGTGGTTTGCACGCGCGGAATGTGTTATTAAAGTGTGTTTATATTAAGTATCTATCTCTCTTCAGGCCAGCATTGTTGGTTTTGTCATTCGATTTTACTAAACTTTCAGTTTAATATTTGTTGAGCACTAAAACACTTGTCTGGGTTTCTTTGTGCATTTGCGCCCAAGCAGGGCTGACATACGTTTGGACAGGGTTGTTTTGGTACCGCGACTCAGTGAGCACACGACTGTACAGCACTGCTCTGTATCAGCTGTGTTTACGAACACTGCTAAATAACATCTGCATGTGAAATCTAACTATACTTTAATAAATAACTTCCGCGGGTTATTTGTAATTAAATTACTAGCTATGTCAATTTAGAATTTGCTTCAGTTTCGCTTACTTGTTTGGGCTTCTTTGATTATTTTGATGACCATCGTATGGTAACACCGTACTCTGCCTAATTTGGTGTTTTCAAGCACTGGCTAACAAGAAAGTTAGACAAAGGTGGGTAGACGTACAAACACACATGCATGCGTATGCACAAGTATGCGCAATACACTCTGGTGTAGTGGGCGGCAGTGTTTACAATGTCGTCGACGGAGCGTAAACTGATTGTGGTCACTGGATTTGGTCCGTTCGTGGGCCATGAAGCGGTCAACGCCAGCTGGGAGGCTGTGCAACTGCTGCCCGAGCTGCTTAGCTACGAGGGCACCGACTACCAGCTGGAGAAAAAAATGGTGCCAGTGGAATATGCGGCCGTAGATGAGGCAGTTACAGAAATTTGGCAGCGGCAGCCAGAGGCAAGCATTAATATATACGATTTAATTCAGCGTCGCTGACATCATTCCCCCACACTCGTCGCAGCTGGTCGTGCATGTCGGTGTCTCTGGCGTGGCCAAATGCGTCTATGTGGAGAAACTCGCCTATAATCATCAGTTTCGACGACCCGATAATGCGGGCCAATATCTAAGCAAAAGCACTTGCTGCCTGCCTTACAATGGAAAAGCAAATGTTTTGCGCTGCGGCCTGAACGTTGATAAGATTGTGGAGGCTGTAAACTTAACCTGTGATGAGTGTGTGGCGCCAGCACGAACAGTCAACAACAAGGCCTTGGAGGCCACGAAGGCGTCCAAAAATGTTGGCGACTTCCTCTGCGGCTATATCTATTTAAGGTCCTTAGACGTGGACTCCAAGCGCACCTTGTTTGTACATGTTCCGCCCATTGACAAGCCCTTCAGCTCTGCGCAAACATCAGAGATTCTTTCCAAAATAATTATGCAATGTGTAGAGCAATTGGCTGCCTGTGAATCCCAGTGAAAGTATTCGGTTAGTGTAATTTTTGTCAGTGTACTATTTGTATGAACAGTTGCAAGCTTATAAAAAACCTTTATTGTTATGAGGAATTTTTGAATTCTATAGTATATACATGGCAATACTCTTAAGCTTCTTTTGTTATTTTATATAAACAGATAACGTACTAGATAAACGTGTTTATTACTATAAATAATTTTCACATGCCGTCTGGTTTATTGTACATGCATTGTTTTCCCTTGCATAGTATTATTGCTTAAATCGAGGGGAACAGTGCGTTCGTTTTATGTAGATTCAGCCGCAACGATTTCCGTATCTATAGAAAAAAAGAAACAATAATAAATTTAAATATCGCAGCTTTTCTTCGCAATTGTTAACAGTTCAGCGCAATGTTAAGCCAACAACATAACATAAAATATATATGAACTAAATGAGTCACAGTCGTTCTTTTAGTTCAGTGATTCGTGTAATCGAACTTATTCCGGACAGCTCGATACATATATGGAGCCAATGTTCTGTCGCTTGGACGTAGACGATTTCATTTGGAATTTGGCTTGCAACTTGTACGGTAGACATTTTTTGTCTTTAGAGTTGCGCTAGTGTGTGTCTGTGTGATAGACTTCTACCTACAAATAGGCATTTATATATACTAAATATTAAGTGCCCGCGATGAAATTCCTAATCTGTGCACTACTCGCGGCGTCCTACGTGGCGGCCGCTGATATTAAACTGGAGGAGGGTGTCATCGTAGCGACGGTGGATAATTTCAAACAAGTGATTGCTGACAACGAATTTGTGCTCGTCGAGTTCTGTGAGTATTCATTTGCAACATAATTAACATAAATAAAATGTGCCGTACCGGCCGCTAAACCGCTGCCGCTTCATGGTGATTCATGAAAATCGACAAGGGGCTACGTGGTCTTTTGTGAGCAAGCCCCCAGCGTGATGCTCCGAAACAAGATATGTCTGCGTGGCAGTTTGGCCACCAGTCGGATTGTTGTTGCTACTCGGCAAGCTTCCTTTGGCTTGTGAAGGCGGGAAGAGAACAGAAGTTTTAGTTGTGAGAGAAAATTCATTTGTATATATTTTTTTTTGTTTTTACATTTAATCGTTTATCGCATATCGATGATTTTGCGGATATTGGCTTGCGCTCTGCCCTCTCCTTACCTCTCTTTCATTACTTTTGTCGTTACTCTCTCCTTGCATACGACCATCCCTCTTACACGCAATGTGCCAGCACCTGTGCGCAAGCGAGCCGGCAGCTGTGCTGGCATTTGTTGCGCGTAAGTTTTTAAATGTTAAAGTGCTAAGCAAAAGTTGCGCGTCATCATAATCAGAGAAGATTATTCTTCGGCACATTTCCCAACAGGGTCAGCGCGGTTGGTGTTTGCCAGCTAAAGCTGACACTGCGTTCCTGCTCTTATCTTTGGCTTCGTGAGTGCCGCGCGGCGTCCTCAAGCCGAGATAAGGCCGGAACAGTTTCTATTTCCATATGTCTCAGTTTTATCAACACGGCAATGCAACTCTGTTGCGTCGTTACGGGCGTGGCTATATTCCGCCTACTTGCTGCTTAGTTCTTACATCCGCTTCATCAGTATAGTTTTAGAATAGAAAAAAGTTGTCAAGCAACTGTCGCCTTGAAACTGGGTTAGCTAAACAACTTTTCGCCGCTATTCCGTCAAGAATTTCTGTCTCTTTTGCGCTGCTTTCTATTCTGGCTTGCCCTTTTAAATACCGTACGCCGCCGCTTAATGCGATCGCGCCTGCGCAGCGGCAGAAGTTCATTCAACTCTTTATTTTATATTCGCTCTCTATTTCTGTTGCTTTTATTGTTGTTGCTCTTTGAGCGCGTGCTAAACAGTACAATGCATCAATATGGCGGCGGCCCTGTCTGCGGTTTGTTTATGCCAGCAGTTCATGTGTGTGTGTTTGTGTGTTTGTGTGTGTTTACGCTACGTTTCCAAAACGCACAAATCTGGCAACGTCAGCAGATCCAATACTTGACCACGAACAGATAATGCCGCCCCGATTTACCTTGCGAATCTTATCTGTGCAACTTTTACGCTCATTTGACCATTAACCAAGGCCACGTCAGCTTGAGCCGCAGATAAGAGAGTGTAAGACGTTGTCAACTCGCATTATGTCATTGTCTTTCTATATTTATCTCTCTTCCTCTCGCTCTCTCTCTCTCTCTGTGTGTTCTGTCGAATGCGTATAAAATTGCAGCTCTTCACAACTCAACACGTGGAATTTGCATAATATGCAACAGCTGCTGTTCCATGTTAAATCTGGCGTGAAAAATACCCCGGCACGCCCGCCTAACACCCACACTTTTGCGACAATTCGATTTTCCATGCGAACGCTTCGCTTAAGCGAGATTGATATGTGTATCTGAAGTACTCTACATATCTACATAAATATTTGCTATTTATAATAGATTTATTAATTGCTTGAGCTTACATTGAAATACTGAAATTTAACGGTCTGTTTGTTTTGAGAGTGCATCGCAATAAACTAGACACGCTTTAAACTATTCATCAACAATTAAAAATAAATTTGTTTAATTGGATAAATGTGTGAAATATTTACTTATTTTGTAATATTTGTTTAATTTTTGTTGCAGATGCACCCTGGTGTGGTCATTGCAAGGCACTGGCGCCCGAGTATGCCAAGGCCGCCCAACAGCTGGCAGAGAAGGAGTCGCCCATTAAGCTGGCCAAGGTCGATGCCACCGTTGAGGGTGAGCTGGCCGAGCAGTACCAAGTGCGTGGCTATCCCACGCTGAAGTTCTTCCGCAGTGGCTCGCCCGTGGAGTACAATGGTGGACGTCAGGCCGCTGACATTATTGCCTGGGTGACCAAGAAGACTGGCCCACCAGCCAAGGATTTGACCAGCGTTGCCGAAGCCGAGCAGTTCCTGAAGGACAATGAGATTGCCATCATTGGCTTCTTCAAGGATGTGGAGTCGGAGGAGGCCAAGATCTTCACTAAGGCCGCCAACGCATTGGACTCGTTTGTCTTTGGTATCAGCAGCAATGCCGATGTGATTGCCAAATATGAATCCAAGGACAATGGTGTCGTGCTGTTCAAGCCATTCGATGAGAAGAAATCGGTGTTTGAGGGCGAGCTGAGTGAGGAGAGCCTTAAGAAATTCGCTCAGGTGCAATCCCTGCCTTTGATTGTGGACTTCAACCATGAGTCGGCATCTAAAATCTTCGGTGGCTCAATCAAATCGCATCTGTTGTTCTTCGTGTCGAAGGAGGCTGGCCACATTGAGGCCCATGTTGATCCATTGAAGGAGATTGCCAAGAAATACCGCGAGGACATTCTGTTTGTGACCATCTCATCTGATGAGGAGGATCATACTCGCATCTTTGAGTTCTTTGGCATGAACAAAGAGGAGGTGCCTACTATTCGCTTGATCAAGCTGGAGGAGGATATGGCCAAGTACAAGCCCGAATCAGCCGATCTGACACCCGAGTCGATTGAAGCTTTCCTCAAGAAGTTCCTCGACGGTAAGCTGAAGCAGCATCTGCTGTCACAGGAGCTGCCTGAGGATTGGGACAAGCAGCCCGTCAAGGTGCTCGTTTCGAGCAATTTCGAGAGCGTTGCCTTGGACAAGAGCAAGTCGGTGCTGGTTGAGTTCTATGCACCATGGTGCGGTCACTGCAAGCAGCTGGCCCCCATCTACGATCAGCTGGCTGAGAAATACAAGGATAATGCCGACATTGTCATTGCCAAGATGGACTCCACTGCCAATGAGCTGGAGAACATCAAGATCTCATCCTTCCCAACTATCAAATACTTCCGTAAGGACGACAACAAGGTCATCGACTACAACCTGGACAGGACCTTAGATGACTTTGTCAAGTTCCTCGATGCCAACGGCGAAGTTGCCGATGCCGAGCCTGCTGAGGAGAGCGAGGAGGAGGAAGAAGCGGCGCCCAAGAAGGACGAGTTGTAAACTAACAAAAACACAATTAATCCAAGAAAAAAAACAACAGCAACAACAACACACACAACCACACAGCAACAACAAATAGCAACGTACATTCTGTAGTTTATTCTTGTCTTCGGTCGTGGATCCAATTCCAATGAGTTTTTGTCATTGCCCCCAGTCCTGGCCGTGGCACAATTTAAGTCCCAACTTGTTTGCCTAATAAATAACTTAATTTAGTTGTGATTTGCAACAACAAATATTTACGCAATTTCACATCGTAGCGCGAAGCATTTGGCAGCGCCTTCGCCGCGTTCAGTTTTTGATATGCGTAGTTTAGAATTCAGTTTTATTGAAGCGGTAACCGAGAAATCAAATTGATAAATTTTTAATGTGTAATCTTCTAAGTTTTCTATTTTGAATTTGTAGAAGCATTGAGAAAGAACTGATTAAGGACTTAATAAATAAAGTTGGCAACAACATTAAAAACAAATGATTTCATGCTATCGCATATTTTAAAATGAATGTAATATTCAATACTCGATAGGGTCTATTGATATGTGTATTAGATATTCCTAAATATTTAGGCGAGTTTTAAAAAAATATTCATGTATATTATTTTTATCCATTTAAATTATGTATTATCTATAATGATTGAATTTTAAATCAATTTAAATAACCGCCCTAACATTTGTATTTCGCGGTTATTTGCTTGCACTTTTCAACACTGTAACATCAGAATTATGTGGCGTATTCGATATTTTTATATTTTCGTAATGCGGCCACACTGCACACGAATTTAAGGCCAAGTGTGACCGATTAAATGCATTTTAGTGTGTATTTTAGCAGTCAACATTCTAAAAGTGAAATGGTCAAAAACAAACAAGTGCCAGTTCACAAACAGAAATTAATGTAAAAAATGTGCAAAATACAACAAATGCATTGTGAATTGGTAACTGGACTGTGTGCACCAGCGACTTTTGTAGTGTAGCGTGCACTACGAGCCCGCCGCTGCTTATTACAGTTAACATTTCTGCGGTAGGTGTGTGTATGTGTCTATGCGCAGGTATATACATATGTATGTAGGGCCAGCCAATGCTAACGGGACTTTCTCTTCAAACAAGTCGAAATTTTTTTGATTTGCGACATTCTCTTGCGTTGCAGAATGATGAGCAATACACGAAACAATTGCATGAATGTTGATGAAAACATCTCTGTCGCCGCCACTCCCGGCGGCAGCGCGACACCGTCGACCGTGATGCCGGAATTTGTGCACCTGACTGAGACGCGTCGGGGTATTTATAGAGCGATTGCCGCCACTAACGATGACAGCTTCAACAATGTTATGAATCGACTGCTCCGACAATTTGAGTGGTAAGTACATGACCATTGCTGATCCATATTCTCTCAATTAATCTCTTTGCCCAACCCCACATGACAGTGCCATACGAGAGGAGCTGGAGTGTGCACAAAACTCACCGCTAATATGCCGCAAATTGGCGCGCAGTATAATCGGTCTCACCGACCTTATCTACACCCTACAGGGCCGGCGTATGCTGGGCAACAGCAGCTGGAATCCTTCCTGTGACCGTTGGTGCTACATTGTGGCTAATTATATTGCGTGTGAGCTGTGTGCCGCACAGGAGCGTGTCGAGAAGGAGCAGTGCATTATTGAGCGGATCGGCAGCATGCTCAGCCTATATGTTGAAGACAATGATACGCGCTCTGCTGTGCACAAGGAAAAGACGCTGCTCACGCTGATCGCCGTACCAAAGCTGTATGGCCAGGCGAACATCATCACAGTTTTCTACAGGTTGGCTTTATATGCTAAGACAATAAGATTATTGTATATTCTATATTATAATATGCTAACTCCTTTTCAGCCGCCTCTTTCCGCAATGGTCGTCAACATCGGGCCACTTTAGTCAGGCGGAGCTGCCCGATAAAATATACATCGAATATATTATCATATTTTATTACTGGCAAAGGCTGGAGCGCGATGAGGCGACCAAGCAGCGCATTTTTGAGTTTGCGATCAAATTTATGCGGCCCGCATGCACGCTACCTTACAACCCCGCCTACATAGAGCATTTGCCTAAATACAGATCACCCAGCACGGCAACACGTTGCATTTTGGAACATCTGAGCCTTCAAAAGTGCTGCAGAGGATTGCATGCTGCCAGCAAGATGGACAATCGAACGCTGCAACCAACGGATTTAGTAAGTTGTCTAACATAAGTCAAATGTGTGATTCTTTGACCACCATGATGTTTTAGTAAAAGGTCTGAGTTGGGCATGCGGTGTGCACGTAGCCCTTCCCCACGCAGTTAGTCGCGTGCCAGGTGAAGGCGGGCGTGCCTCTGCTGCCCATAAAATGACTTCAACATTTATCTGAGTACAAGCACACTAACGTTCAAAGTCCAATGCATCGCCAGGCAATTTATTGATACACTTTCTTGCACAACAGATACTTGACTCCGATGAGGAGGATACAGCCTCTGAATCCAATTTAGCGTTGGTCGGTGTGTTGCTGTCAACGTCAACGGCAACACAGCTTCCGCCACCACCAGCTCCAGATCCGCCTGACTTTCTAAAGCGCCTTTGCCGCAATGCCAGCCACTTGGAGCCAGTGAAGCGCGCTACGGCCCTGTATCGCGGCATTGATCCAACGTGCGAGGTTGTGGATCTCTGTGAATCGGATGATGACGACGAAATGTTCTCCCTGGACTTCAGCGTGCCCGCTAATGTGGATGGCAATGGCTCCAATTCAAACGAAGCGGCGGGTGTTGGGGAAGATGATTATGTGCCCATAACGCGCATATATCCCATTAATTTGCGAACGTATCAGCGCGCCACAAGCAGCGGCGCAACCGTGTCTACGCCTGCTGCGACCTACACAATGCCGCGCATAGTCAACAGCTACAGCTGCCGTCGGGACAGTCTGCATCTCGTGTCTACAACACAAATGCCGCCACATCTTGTCGATCAGTGCGTACAAACGGCCGAGCAGGAGGCAGAAGCACAACATTTAGAACAAGAGGAACAGCTGCTGCAGCTGGACATTAATGATGATGCCATATCTAGTTGCATGCTCTACTCCGACTCCGATAAGGAGCTGTCCGCCAGCACTTCAACGCCCAAACTGCACTACAAAGCCTCATTCTCCCGCAGAATAAGCACGAATGCCAGTAATATAGCTGAACCCAATGACAATCACTACTGCCATCAATCATCTAGTCGTAATAGCCATAGCAGCGAGGCGTCGCTGCACAAAAAGCAAGTCACTTTCAGTGTACAACATTTGGGCGCCTCCAACAAATCCCAGTTAAGCAAATCCTTTAAAACCATTAAGCCATCAATTAAAAATTATAAAAAGTTCAATAATACATCACTCTCGTCGCTGACACCAAGCTCGTCCATGGACTTCATCGAATCTCTCAAGTGGATGGGACGAAAAGGTAAGTACATGTTCATATCTTTAAATATATATATATCCAACTATAAGTCTTTTCTCAATATTTAGAACATTTACTTGCCGGCCAGCGCATGTTTAGCAAATTGGAATCTAAGAAAATCTGTGATAAAAGGACTACTGAATCGTTGTCTTCCTGCAATCGACGTGGGCGACAAGTTAAGCAGGCACGTCCGTCAGCCGCTATCCCGAACACGCCCACGCCCACAAGTCAGCTTACGCCCACGACAAGCAATGCTTCAAGTGGCACACCGACGCCACAACCGAAGAGACGGCAGCCTCGCGGCCCACAACGTTCCCTGCCCACACCACCCGCCTCCACGCACAGCTCGGTTGAGACATGCCAACGTCGAAGATCGACTGATAGCGCGCAGAACTCGATTGACGTTGATCGGGTGCAAGCATTGGCCAGAAAATATAAATTTAACCGGCGCAAGTTCGCTGATACGTCCACGGAGCATGTCGATTTCTACAATAGTCTCCTTCAGCTTCAGCGCCGGAAACTAGACGAGAAGCGAGGATCCGGTGTAATAAAGTCGCAGTCAGAGTACGATGCAAAACTCAGAAAGCGATTGCATACATCGAATACCGAACTACGCAAGGATATCGAGAGGCTGGAGAATGAAGTGGCAATCATTAAAAGCTTTGCGGCGCAGGTGCATGCAAAGAAGACAGCGATGCCAATGCCTGTCGTAAGACTGAAGCGCATCCACATTGAGGACTCGGTAATGTTTATTTATTTATTTATTGATATTTATTATTTTTTATTAATAGTTGACAAAACGAGTGTCAACTTAAATAATTAATACATTAGAATAGCAAAATTAGAAACTTACAACTTAATTAGAATACAAATATTCGATATCATCGCCCGTCGGGCCAACTAACCCCGTTCCACAGCTAAACTTGACAGTGATGTGTTTTAGACTCTGCAGTTTAGAGGAAAAGTATTAAAAGTGAAAAAAAGTATTACATAAAAATTAAAATAATCTTAAGTAACTTTTTATTAAATAACATAAATAAGTTAGAAAAGAATGAAATAAGTTAGCAAAAAAGGGGGAAAAATGGAATAAAAAACCTATAGAAATTTGAAATAGGCCATAGCATATTAAGCAATAGTGATAGGAAAAAACCGACCCGGCGGGGAATCTTGATAGCCTGTCCGGCAAGCTAGTGTTGCATGCCTTTTTCTTTTACGTATAACATGCTCATAACACACACACACCTATTCTGTATGCGTAGGAGGAATTGGCTCGGCCCAAGGACCTAAAGCTGACCAAACGACGCCGGCGACGAAAGCAACATGGCTGGAGCCGGATTAAGAACGTTAAGAAAAAGGTGGCCCAGCAAAATATTGCAATTTGGACTTCTTCTCCAACTCCAACTCCCACTTCTGCTATTGCTCCTGCCACGGATTCCGTTGCTCCTGCAACTCCTGTTGATTTCGCTGTTTGCGCGTCGCCTGAACCGGACTCCATTGCCGCCTATGTAACATTGGCAACAAATGGCGAGTCCTGCAGCGAAGAGGATGCAGTGATTAAGGCAATAACAACGCAAGAGTGCACGCTCAGTCGAGAGGCGGAACCAAGCAGTGTTATTGCCGCACATGAGATCGAAGTGGCCTCCAGTAATGTACCTGTGTATTTGCTCAATGGCGAGAGCCGCGATGTGATGACGCCCGTGCCACCATCCTTGTCCAGCGACGCTGCTACATCGGAACCGTAACATTCGTGAGAAGAAGCTGGTAGACGGGCTTGTGGAATCCAATTGGCCATTGGCCACTTTTAACTGTAGTCCATATAAATATATACATATATATCTCTATATTTTTTGTTGATGTTTAAAACGAAGCCTGTTAAAACTATTGAAAGAATATTTCGTAGTATTACTTTAAGTGTATTTTTAGAACTGTTGACCTTTATTATATTATTAATTGCAAATTATTGTGCAGTGTTTGACTAATGGACATTGCACTCCAAAGCTTTATGTTTATATATTTTATTCGTACAAAAGTTGTTGTAATTTATGATTTTATACACTCAATTTGAACTTAATAAGTTAACGTCCAATGCAATAATCTTAAACATGAAATTAGTCACAATTGTTCAGATTGCTATATTATGTGTATTATTTTCAAGTTAATTAAATAAATAGTTAATGGTCTTTTCCTTTTCTGTATTTCAGCTAATGCTTCATTTTAGCCGATTCCCGTATATTAAATTTGGGCACACGATCCTTTCTTGCCAATATCCTGTTGGAGTTATCCTCAATGTTAATTGTACTGATAATTATATTCACACGACGCTCAATGACCCCAACGAATAGCTTCACATTATGGACAGTCAGGAAGGTTCTGGAGCTGAGCACATTAAGTATGGGTGCATCATCACAGGCCAGTAATCTGTATGTGTTAAGAAACCTTCAATTTTTAGTACCCTACGTGGACTTTTATAATCTTACTTGAATATGTCCTCAATACCCTTGAGTAGCTGCTGCAATCGAGTGCTCAGATTTTGTTTCTTTTCGCTTGTCTCTTTGGCCAGTTGCTCAACACGCACCAGTTCGTCATTTAAATAATCCAAGGCCTCTGTTTTGAGCTTCAGTTCCTTTTCTGTTTGCTCCGATTTTTGGCGCTCTGGAAATGGAGCAATATTATAATCATTACCCATTATGCAGTTATGCTAATAATGCATCTTACTTACCAATCTGATCTGTTAAATCCTGTGTGGTATCATTAAGTACCTCCACCTCGTGACTCAACTCATTCACGTAGCTGAAGAGCGCAAAGTTTTCATCTTCCTGGCGCTTAAATTGTGCCACCAGGCGTTCCGTGTCATCTTCGCCATAAAGCTGTTTAATTCTTTCAATTATCTCTTTGTATTCGAATAGCTGGCGCTCATAGTTGTCCTTTTGATTCTGCTTTTTGTCCAGCTCACGTTGTTCCAGTTCGGGATTGACGCGTTTCTGACCCTTGATGTCGAAGAACTTTTGCAACTTGGCATCGTGCTCCAAGCGACGCTGCATTTCTCGCATTTCCTGTATATGCATCACCTTATCATTCTCGTTGCGGTCCTTCAGCACCGATAGCTTCGTGCACAGCTCTTGGCGTTGATCAAAGGCCATTGTTGACTGATCAATTAAATCCATGATGAGCTTTTTTCCGTCGTTGAATTGTGTAACCATCGATTGCCACATGTCGTTAAAGTTTGCGCTGTTTAGATAACAAATATAATATATGCCAAACAGGCATCAAGTTTCGATATTAGATCAAATTAACCAAAAGTAGCAAGGGGTTGCATCGCGTTTTTTATGATGTCCTGGCGAGTCCTGTGTAAATTAACTCGTATGGACAGGGACTGTAATCTGCCCAAATGAAACATAATCGTCATTATTTTTTCTTCTTAAAGGACATTAAATTGACCACCTTAAGGACCACTCTGATGACCGTTGGACAACATGCAGTCCTTGCCCTGCCAATTTTGAATAAGTCATTTATGTCTGCAAAGATAAAAGGGTGTAGATCGGCCGTATCCTTGCCGATCATGATGTCCATTTGCCAACCGTGAGTCCTTATCGTCCCAATTCGTAATGTTTAATGAAAAGGACGAAAGTCCTTCAGACACCGTAGATATGAGTACAATTCTTTCGTAAATTATCGAAGCCACAACTCGGCCGTATCCTTACAGATCCTGACGAGTCCTGTGTCAAACAAATTGTCTGGTCAAGGACCTGAAACTGTCCGAAGGATAACAAAATCGTCCTTGCCGTTTCAGAGATATGGCCAATTTTCTAAAAAGGACATTTTTTAATTAGCCATAGTTCGGCCAAATCCTTAAGGATATCGAAAGGATATATAGTTTTGAACTCGTGGGGAGCAGGACTATTGATTGGCATTCAAGGATTTCCAGGATTCGACAAAAAATTTTGCCGAAAATTTGCCTAGGGGGTTAGTCGCAAAAGCGGCAAAAATCGAAAAATTCGGGACTAACTTGGTCATTTGAAGGACTATCGGGATGTCCTTTGGACAGTAGATAGTGCTCGTGCACCCATTTAAGAAAATATAGCAAAAAGGACGAAAGTCCTTCAAATGGCGAAGTTTTAAGGACAATTTTTGCAAGAGAAAATAGGCCATAACTCGGCCATATCCTGGCGTACCCTGACAAGTCCTGTGGCAAATAAATTGTATTAACCAGGACTACCAACTGGCCAAAATTCATTGAGATCGTCCTGCTAGTTTTGAAGATATTCAAGGATTTGTGTTTTCGGGCCATTTCCGTGCGCTCCGGGATGAAAATTTTACAAGTAAAAATACAAGTCCTGGGGTTCTTAGATGACCCCATATTTTTTTGATGCAGATCGATGCAGGGGGTCTATACGATCCTAACGCACCATGTCCTTTGAAAATCTGCAAGGATTTGACCGAGCTATGTCCTTTTTTCTTTACATAAAATACTTTTATATATTTTTCGCCCTGTTTAATTTCAATATGTTTTTATGCTTTCAGACTGACAAATAAAGGACTACAATGAGCTCTAAGGACCTCCACGACTGACAAAGCAAATTTTTCCAGGATCGGACTTTAATTAAGCCAGATATAGGTTTTTTAAGTTTCAATAAACTATTATTATGATTTATGCTTGATTTGTATAATTTTAAAAGAAATAATTAAGAAAACTAGCATAAAAAACAACAATTTTATATATTTGAACATAAATAAATCAATTATTTAAAATAAAAGAAGAAAATCCAGTTTTTTAATTAAAAAAGTCAAAAATCAATATTCCAACGCTTGGCCCACATTTAAAATTTGTGAAGATATGAAAGATGTTATGTCGTTCTAAAACGACATAACTCCGCGCGTAGATATGACGTTCTAAAACGACATAGCTCCACGCGGAGATATGTCGTTTCAAAACGACACACCTCCGCGCGGAGATATGTCGTTAAAAAACGACATAACTCCGCGCGTTTCAAAACGACATAACTCCGCGCGGAGATATATCCTTCCAAAACGACATAACTCCGCGCGGAGATATGACGTTCCAAAACGACATAACTCCGCGCGGAGATATGTCGTTTCAAAACGACATAACTCCACGCGGAGATATGTCGTTCCAAAACGACATAACTCCGCGCGTTTCAAAACGACATAACTCCGCGCGGAGATGTATCGTTCCAAAACGACATAACTCCGCGCGGAGATATGACGTTCCAAAACGACATAACTCCGCGCGGAGATATGACGTTCCAAAACGACATAACTCCGCGCGGAGATATGACGTTCCAAAACGACATAACTCCGCGCGGAGATATGACGTTCCAAAACGACATAACTCCGCGCGGAGATATGTCGTTTCAAAACGACATAGCTCCACGCGGAGATATGTCGTTCCAAAACGACATAACTCCGCGCGTTTCAAAACGACATAACTCCGCGCGGAGATATATCGTTCCAAAACGACATAACTCCGCGCGGAGATATGACGTTCCAAAACGACATAACTCCGCGCGGAGATATATCGTTTCAAAACGACATAACTCCACGCGGAGATATGTCCTTTCAAAACGACATAACTCCACGCGGAGATATGTCGTTTCAAAACGACATCGGCCGAAAAAAATCATTGCATACCCTCACGGGGCGCCCTGCTCGGAGGCTACGCCCCAAATTTGCCCTAAAATTCCACTCAAATACCAGGCGAACAGAAATGCCCAGAAGGTCGACGAGTGGTTTGAATAAAAATTTTCATTGCATAGCATTAAGGGGCAAAAATGTAACTCAATTAAAATGAGTGCTGTTAATTACCAGTCTATGTAAAATGAGTTCTGTAAGCTGCCTGTTAAGCAACAGCTGCAGCTGCAGCTAATGTAAAATGGCTCCTGAAAGAAAAATCATACATGTTTTTGGACCATTTCAATGCAAATTTTGCAGGGATCTGATCCTTTAGGTTCCCAAGGACTATATCGATGATATGGTAAATCAAGGATATGCTAGTCAACTAAGAACCATCCAGGCAGCGGGCTGATGTAAAAGAAACGCATACATATTTTTGGACCATGTTCTTGCGCATTTTGCGAGAACTCGGTCGTTTAGGTTCGCAAGGACTATATCCATGATATGGAATAACCAAGGATATGTTAGTCAACTAGAAACCACCCAGGGGGCTGGATGCTGTACACGAAAAGCATACTTTCGGCTCGCTAGGAGTATATTTATGATATGGAATTACCAAGAATAAACTAGTTTGGTAAAAAATGTAGAATGTGAATTTTTGAATGCTAATCGATAGTACTTATCCGTTCGAGTCCAAAATGGTATATCATTCCGAAATCGGCAATATCTGGCAGAAATATTCCGAAAAATCATGAGAATAGTTTAACATCTAAGCCGAACCGACATATGGCAGAATTTTACATACTTCCCCTCGTTTGATGGTGTAACTAACTGTCAATTATAGAAGGGATCCCCACGAATTTAAAAATGAATAACATTCCAAAATCAGACGGTGTTTACTCGAGATACTCGAAAAAAATTGCCGAAATAGTTTTAATTTACGAATAGATCAGGTTTTTGGCAAAAAACGTGATGTAACACCTTGATTTTTGTCAATTTTGATCAAAATTTAGAATGTGCTTTGTTGATTGCTAATCGATAGTTCTAATCCGTCCGAGTCCAAAATCGCTTATCATTCGGACAAATCGGACATTACTTCGCTGAGATATTGAAAGCACATTATTTTTTTTCAGACGCACTTACCGATCTTGAAGCATATGGTTTATGGCGTCACGCATTTTGCCGTTCTCGGTTAGAACATCGGAACACTTTTTGTTGACCACGTCGAGGCGATTCTCTAGTTTGACTACACTCTTTTGCACCTTACAAATGGTCTCCTTGTAGCAATTGTCGGGCACTTCGTTGCGACGCAATGCATCTATTTCTTTTTCCATTTTCCGAATGTGACCCTCTAACTCCCACAAATTGGTGCGTTCGCCTTGGTACACGCGTTGCAGTTCGGACTGTTGATTTTGCAGGGTTGCCAAGAGTTTCTCCTTGTTGGTATTTTTACGTGCATGAGTGCCGCCCTCCAGGGTTTTCATTTCATCCTTAAGTTTGTCATATTCCAACTGCAGAACGTTAATCATGTGATTTTGCTTTTTCAGACGTTTGGTTTTCTCCTCTAGCAGCCCGCGCAGGTCCAGCTGTAGGGCACGATGCTGGCGCTGCAGACGCTGCAGCTCAGCGGTGGCCAGTTGGTCCAGTTGGTCAGTCATTGCGAACGTCCAAAGCTACTACACTTGCCTCTTATTTACGAAAGCCAAATAACATGCCACACGGCGTAGCGCAACCAGGCAACCGCAAATATGGTGTTGCCAGATGTGTGCATTTCACTTACCTTTGCCAGTTGTGTCTGGGAAATAGCGACCAGGCTGCCGGATATGTGAATGAAGGTGGTATTTTGTGTTTAATGTTAAATCTGAAATCCATTCAAGTTATTTAAAAATAACATTTTTATTTTTATGGTAAAAGTTTATTATTTGTAACTTTATTTTTTAGTTTGTTCTTTGCCTTTTGTTTTCATGTTTAAATGTCTATAAAGTATATATAATATATATTTTTCTGCATTTTTGTAATTTTACCATTTGTTTTGTTTTTTTTTCTCAATTTTTTTGTTTAAACTTGCCAGTTTTGTTTTTTCTCTTTTTACTTATTACATTTGCATAAGTTGTCATGTATAATAATTATTTATTAATAATAATTTATTTGTTGTAATTATAACTCGTTTACTTGTTCATTTATAATTTCTCTTTTGCTTTGCTCCATTCTTAATTTTCTGTTCGTTCTGTACCATAATATTTCTCATATGCCGCATGCCATATACGACGCCCAGTTTGGCCAACGAAACAAAGTTTACATGTTCGCCATTTTAAAACTGTCAAAATTTAGCCTAGACTTTCTTGATATTTATATTATATTATGTATATATATATATATATATTTTATTTATTTTTATTTTTATTTTTATTTTTAATGATGTTATTGTTAGCTTTTGCCGCGCGTTTGGCCTAACTGCTGTTGCTTGTCGTTCGTAGACTGTGTTATCATTGTTAGGAAAGGAAAATGGGTATAAAAAACAACAATTTGATAAAAAGGCGCAAATTATGTTTATATGTAGTTAGTTCTTTTGCTGGCTCTAACACTTGTTATTGTTTTTGTTTGTAATATAGTTACTTATAAATATGTTGGGTTTATTTTTTATGTATTGTTTTGTATGTCATAAATAATGTTTAAACTAGATTTGGTAATGCATTTTTACGCCTGTTAAGTATTAAAATATTTGCATAGTTTGTTTTGTTTTAATTTGCTTGCTTTCATAATTAATTAATAGTTCATTTGATAGCTTTTAATGTGTGGCTTCAACAATTTTTCGCGACCTTGGGCGAAAAATTAAATTGAATGTAAATATAAACATATATATCTATATATATATACATATATATATATATATATATATATGTATATATATATATCTATATGAAGTATATATATAGATATATTTGTAATGTTTTTCGGTGTTTACTTTCATCCTTTTGTTTTCATGAACGAATGCACAAATTTTACACACTTCGCCATTGAGTTGTTATTATTTATAAATTGTATTTAATATACACATATGTATAGTATATATGTGGTATATATATATGTATATATATATATATATATATATAGTTAATATAAAGACCTTTTCTTTGCTATTTTAAATTATTTTATTTAATTGTTCAATACGTGTGTTTCCTTTTAGTTTTCTCTATATACTCGTAAGTATTTCTTTTCATTCTTTTCATCTACATTGCCTATTAGTTGTTTTTAAATATTTTTTTTCATCTGCGCTTTATATGTATGCATGTAGTATGTATGTATGTATAAATATAAATTTTGTAATATAAGTAAGTACTTGTATGTATGCATGTATATGTGTATATTATGTATGTAGCTGTGTGCATATTAAGTTAGTATCAACTGTTAATGGATGTGTCTCAAAAATTGTCGTTAGAAATATACGTATGTATTTGTGAATACAGATTGGATACCTGGTGCATTTCATGTAGCTGTGCTCTAAGAATCTTCAATTAGGTTGATCTTTCAAATATCAAACTTAAGAAAGTTGCTTTTCAGGACACACTTTTGTGCACAATCAATTTTGTGTTCTCGCTTTGGCCGATTTGAAAACATATTCCAATACTTGAGTATTATTAAAAATTGCTAGCAAATGCCTAAAAAGATTGTGCTCTAAAAATACGTAAGTACATTTTGGAAAAGCTTGCACTGAATTGTGTAAACAACTTGAAAATATTTGAACTTTGATGTAAATGTTATGGAAATGTATTCTTTTCATTTAACTATACTCTTTTTTAATGTCACTTGGTTGTTTATTTTTTTTTTGTGTGTTTTTCTTTGATTTTGAAACCATTTTACATTTAATATTTAATTTTTGTTGTGTTAATTTATATTTTTTTGTTTATTTTAGAGCATGTTGAAAACATAAGAATCATTTCATTTTGTTATAGGGGCAAGCTTTCTTTAATTTCACTGCAGACTTTTTTGAAAGAATGAAATTGTCAAATTCAATTTGTCAAATTTACATTTTGCTACAAATTTTATGTGCAAGTTTGGGTATGTTCTTTTCTTATTTATATATGGCATTTAACTGCATTTATTGTTAAGTTCTTTTTGCTGCTAATTTTCTTATTGTTTTCGTTAAAGGTGCTCTTCAAAAATGTCAAATAATACCCTATCTGCTGTTATTCAATATTATTTATATATTATTTGTTGCATGTTGTGTGTGTTAGTTGCACAATATCCTATGTTTAATTAAAATAAAGTATATATAGCATTGAGGATTGAAAGAGGAATCATATCCAACAATCCTCAAAATACACATTCTTCTTTTTTAAATAAGAGTTTGGGTTCAAGTTATTCAATTTGCTTAGGTAGTGTATGTCTATGTGTGTGTGTGTGTGTGTGTGCGATAGTGCATAATGCTAATTACGGACGGATTTCTAAACAGAAATAAAATATTGTGTTCAAGAATAAGCAGCTTCATGCGAATATAGTTATCGAACGCAACTGAGACTGCACTTTAAGATGGCAATTCAAGGGTGTGGGTTGTGTGTGAGTGTGTGCAGGCTAAATTCTAGACTACCAACTATCATTAAATAATTTATAATTTATAATATTATTAAACCCTTTTAGGTAAGTATCATTGGGCTTTGTGTTTACCTATATACAATATAAATTCGCTTTGACCTTTTGTTTTATTACGCTTAGCCTGCTCTCAACTGTGCATTGAGCACCTGCATCTTGCATCTGTATCAGTATCTAATATTTGGCTAAGTTCTAAAAGATAACATTTTTATCTACAAAAAATAACTTGGGGCCTTTACATTTCGTTTCAATTTCATATCATTTCATGGCATTTTCTTCAGTTGCATTTCCACACCTCATTCACTTGTATAATTGCAAAATTGGTTTATAATGCTTGTTGACCTTAGCTCGCTAATAAATCTTTGCTTTGGTTAATAGTAATAATAATAATTGTCATAATATATTTATATATATATATATATATATATATATATATATATATATCATAATATATACATATATATAATTCATCGCCTATATAAATATGACAAGATTTCTTTACTTTTTAAATTTGTTGTTTGTTTAAAAAGTTTTTGTTTGGTTTTCGTTTTCATTAATATTTATTCATATTTATTAAATGCACTTTCTGAGCTTTCCTACAAGCGCCGCCAATTATTGTTGCTGTTTGTTTTTTATCAACTTGTTTTGTTGCTCTCCCGTTCCTATACATATACCTATGCATATGTATCCGTGTATATACATATATATATTTAAATATATACTTTCCTACTACTGCACTCCTGTCCCGACTATGCCCATTTGTTGCTCTAAAGACCTATATATATATATATATATATATATAAGTATATAGATTTATGCAAATTCTACGTGTATGCAAAGCTTTAATGTTGCCAAGCTAAAACTAAAAAGAAATGTACTTAGTGCAAAAGCTTGAGGGAAATGTAACAAATGATAATAATATAATAAATTAGAAATAATTATTTTGAATTATGTTTTATAATTATTGTTATTATTATTATTATCATTATTATTATAATTGTTAATTGCATGTTTTACCCTGTATCCTATAAGTTATTCGTGTTTTGATTTAAACAAACCCAAATGCTATCAAGGCAAAATGTTCTAGGCCTAGCGAAAAAGATATGCACCCTCCCTTCTAATTGGGCCCGTTTAACTATGTATGTGTGTCTCTAACTGGGTTGTTGTTGCTGTTGTTGTATTAGTATTAGTTTGGTTTTGTGTATAAAAAACTAGTGTATGAAATTTAGTAGTCCATGGTTATGGTGGGGTCATTTTAATGTGCTTTGCTCTAGTTCTATCGTTAATCTTTTATCATTTATCGTACTGTCATTTTTAGTATAATTTCTTTTAGTTAAATACCTGCAGAAAAGTGTATCTAAATATATTTTTGATTATTAAGTTCTAAACTTGGACTCATGTGTTTTTGGTTGTTGTTGTTGTTCTTGTTGTTTTTGTTGTTGTATAAGTGTTGTAAGCTTCATTCACTACTTTGTCTAGCCTTGTCATTAACTAGCATAGATTAATTAATTAATAAGTTAGTAAGTTGATTTTAGTTATTTTCTATAAATAATAAACATTCTATAAGAATGCTCTCATAATAAAAATACTTTATGTTTAGGACTAAGTGTATGTAGCCATTATAAGTAAGTATTCATGTTAATCTTATGATTTAAGTTTAAGGAACGATCATCGATAAGAGACTTCATTTTCTTTTAGTAAATATACAATGCTTAATATTAAGGTAAATTTTGTTTTTAGTAAATTTAATGTAAATGACAAAATTAAGACAAAGTAAGCAAATTAAATTCAACTATGCGATATGCGAACGAATTTTTTTTGGAACCCAACAGCTTTAATAGGCTATTAATTGCACAGAAGTATTGTATTCTTATCTACCAAAATAGGCTACAATGTCTGCTCTAAGCTGTTACTATTAGTAACATCTTTGTGAAGCGCCGAGAAGAGCGCTAGCTTTATTTTAGATTGAGAACATGATCCTTCCTTTATGAAAAAAAAAATCGATACATATTTAAAGATCTACGATATACGCGTTGTTTTTGATATGATGTGCTTTGTATATTAAGTTTATTAATGTGTAAGAACGCGCTGTAGATTGTTTTGTAACAAAATTATTAGGAAAATTGAGCAGTAAACTGTATTTTGGCAAAATTTGCAAATGCAAGTGCCAATTTGAAATCTCTCGTGGCTGCCCTCATTACAACAAATTGGACGAAACCGGGCGAATCTTTATATTGAGAAGTTGCCCAGCATTTCTTGGTTTATGTAATTCCAATTTTTACGCTCTATGCTCAAGGTACAATTGTTTTTTTCTTTTTACTTCGTTTAGTTTCATTAATTCATTCAATTCGACATATGTTTTTCTTTTTTTTTTTTAACGTTTCGCATCACATTTCATTTCGAATTTAAAATAACCTCTCAATATTAGCAATAATTATTTATTTGTTATTGATTATTTCGTTTTTTGTTTTTTTTTTTTTTTATATTTTTATTTTTATTTTTATTTGTTATGTATCTTGTATGCATTAATTTTGATTTGGCTTTTTGGTTGCTTGTTATCACCGCTTTTGAAAACTAAAACGTAATATTTTGTAATATTTCGTTATTTTAAGCAAAACTAGCTGATTTATGAACTAAGGATAAACAAAAAAGTCAAACAATTTATTTGATTTCTTTTTTTTTTTAACGTTCAAGTCACAGCCCTTATTATGTTTTCTTTTGTTTTCAAGTTTATAAATGCGATGAAATCATAACAAATTTGGTTATAGAAAGTGATATGGGTTAAATGTGCCAAATTTTCTGTCCATAGTTCTGTAGGTCCGTTCAGTTAGCTCAAAGCTCTGCCAATTCACAAGCCACATCATCACACTTGAAAAATAATTAATGAAAATAAAACAAGTTTTCTTTGGTATTTTGTAATTCTCAATTTGTTTATCGCTTTTATTTGTTCTGCTTCAACTTGGTTTGATTCACCGTGTTACGTATTAGAAATAATAATTTGTATGATAATTTAAGTTTTAGTATATTTGTGTTTATGTTTTCGTTTTCTCATTCTTTTTTGATATATAATTTGCATAATTTTGCCAAAATCAGTTTTTTGCACTAAGTTCTTTTTTTATTATTATTATTTTTATTTAAATATTGTGTATATAGTCTAAAACGTTTTGTATAATAGCATAGAATAATAATAATAATAATAATAATAATTTGTTTTTATATAATTAGTTTAAATACGTGTTCGTATTTTCAATACAAAATCATAATGCATCATAATTGTAATGATAATAATTCATAATACATAATAATAATTATTTGTTATTATCTTAATAGTTTGACTCTGTATTAGGTTGGTTTTTTTTTTATATTTTGTTTTAAGTTATTATGCAATAATTAACTTGAATTTGACTAGATCGATTCATACAAGATCTTAAATACATATAGTAAAAGTGTGGATGAGTGTGTGTGTGCCTGTGTGTCTGTGTGTCTGTGTGTCTGAACGTGTGTTGCTCTAGTAAAAATCTAGATTAGCATTTTGAAGCTGTAAAAATTGGGGCAATGCAGTTTTTCAACTTGTTCAACTACGGAATAGTCGCTAAACCCAATTGATAATAATTATGCATTTAAATTTATGTATGTATGTATGTATATATTTATATGTTAGTATTTTTGTATATAATGCATTTTGTTGCGGCATTGCATTTCCATGCTATTTTTCATTGCATTATAGGGGGACTTTCCTCCGCCTTCAAGTGTTCTTTATATTTACAAGATATTAGGCGTAACATTTGTTAAAACAATTTGATAAAAACTGAATACTTTTAGTAGTAGTTTGTTTTCTTGATTTTATTTTATTTGTTTTGAAAAGACCGTTGCAAACAAACATGATTTCGAGAGTAGTTCAGCTAGGCACCATTAGCAAATACTTCTATGTATGGGGCAACTCAATATAACTAACTTGGCCAAACCGCAAGCTATTTAATACTGTCCATACCTTTTCGGCTAACTGGCAATGTTTTTATTTTCTTTTATATTTTTTAAGGGCAAGGTGAGGGGGAAATGTAAAAAACCAAAACTATTGATACATATTTGGAACTCAAAAGTAAAGTAAAGTGTTTGGACACAAAAAGTATATATTGCACTGGTAACAAAACTAACTTTAACTTTTATAACAATTTGTTGTATGCTTAAATCCTCTTTTATATTTTAATATATATATGTATATATATATATGTATATATATATATATATATTTATATATATTTATTATTTAATAATTAATTGTTTTTATCATTAGTATCAAATATGTGTCGCGAGTTGTGTTGCAAACCCACAGACTAGGCGCTAAACGTAGTTTTTTTCTTTTACACTATACAAACTCTAAATAATTGTTACATTTTAATTATTAATTGTTATTTTTTTTATTTTAACTTCTCTCTTATGTTCATTTTTGGCATATTTAGCTGTAGATTTGACAATCTTTAACTTTATTTTGTACAGATATTTCTTCTTTTCTGCTAACCTTTCAAGATAATGTCAAAATGTTTAATGGGTTGGGTTCAACAGATTCCAGTTGAGTAAATCTTGGATTTTTTGCGTTTTTTAGCATGTGACATATGTATTTAGTTAGATTTGCTTGCATGCATGTCTGTTAGTGTGTGTGTGTCTGAGTGTGTGTGTGTGTGTTAAATAAAAGGCATAAATTATTAAATATACAAATTTCAGTGTTCAATTTTCTAGTTTTGCTAAAAATTTGTTACTTTTCTTTTTATATAAAAAATTCTAAATTTAGTTTATATATATGTGTGTGTATATATCATCATCAATAATAATTTATGCATTTATTTGTTAATTGTTTTATAATGTGTCAATTTTGTGGTTTTTCATGAGTTAGCGTAGTTTTTTTTTCTTTTTTTTAACAGGGATAGGGCGCTCTATGGTCAGCTTCATTCTTTTTAGTAAGTTTTTGTTAATCGGGGTGAATCGGAGCTAGTGAAAATAAGTTGCTAACATTTTCAATTGTCTGTTGTATATACATATACATACATATATAAATTTATATATATATATATATATATATATATATGTAACCTAGCAAATGATTCTGTTGTAGCCTTTACCTTTGCTCATATGTACATGAGTGTATATAAATATATATACATATATATTTTTATACACCTGTTTTTAACATTTTTTTGTTATATATATATACAAATATATATGTATACATATATATATATATATATATATATATATATTTGTTGTATATTTGTAAGTACCTGTATTTGTTTTTGTTGCAAGCAGCTAAGTTTAAGTGTAAAGTTTGTTTGATTTCATATTTGTAATATATTTTAATGCTATAAAATCGTTTACGATTTTCTAGTTGCCTTTGCCTAACTGAAAGTGTTTTCTTAGAAATTGAAAATAATTTGCCAACATGCTTTGATTTTTGGGCAACAAAAATGACAGCATTTAATTTGCTCACAATTATTTTATAGGTATTCATCTTTTTAATATGTAGTTCTAACAAATTCATTATTATATTTAAATTATTATTTTTCTCCATTTACATATAATAAAAAATGATATTTTTGCTTGTTTGTTGCAGGCTACGCAAAAACCTTTTGTGGTTCTTTAATTTGGACTTAACAGTACTTCTCTCAAAGCATATCGCATATTAATTTGCTTGCTGCTTTCACCTAGTGCTAACTTTTATGTCCTTAAAATTAATTAAATTCGAATTTTTGTGTTAATTTTTATTTATACACATATGTATATGTACATACATATGCATATGCTATATACTTTTATGTATAATATAATCCTTTGCCATTTTGCTTAGTACTAAATGCTAAAAAGTTGCAGAGCTACATACCATTCATCGTCCTGCTGCGCTCCATCATTAACTTTTCCTCTAACTGCCAACTCATATGCAAAGGTTTTTGTCATTCTCCAACTAACAGATTCAGTTTTGTTTTTTTTTTTTTTTTGTATTTTTCTTGTTTTTTTTTTGTGTTTTTTTGTTTTTTTTTAAGCAGCGTGTGAAATTATTTTCTCTCAGGTTTTTTAGATTTCAATAAATTCCATAGACCAATTTTTATATGTTGTATAAAAAATGGTTGCTGCACTTTTTGTTTTGTTTTAGATTATTATTTCATATATATTTTTGTTTTTATTGAAAACCCAGATAATTTTGGTCTCTTACCAGTCAGTTTTTGTCTCAAGTTTGTTGTGTGTTTGGGTGTGTGTCTGTGTGTGTGTGTGTAAGTGTGCAGTTGATGTTTGCTCTTTTGTAGTTAACAAAACTATCAATATCAATGTTTGTTGCTTGCTCTATAAATATATATATGCATGTCGATATATATTTATGTACATATGTATACATATAATCGTCATTTTGGCAAAAAATTGTTTTGTGTTTTTCTTGTCTATTATTTAAGTACTGCTTTCAGCTGCCCGTATAAATACATATGTATATGTACATATACATAAATATCTATCATATCAATAAATAATTTTGTCCTGCACTGACTTACTTTTTTTTACATTTTCTGTTTGCTATTTTGTAATTGTTTTTTATTCTACATATGGATTTTTGTATATCTTTATAATTTTTTTTTTTTTGCTGGGGCTTTGCTTCACTTAGCATGTGGAAATTCATTGCCAAAGTCCATCTGAAATGTGAAATGTTAAAATGTTAATTTTAACAACTTGTTAAGAAACCTAAGAAAAAAAAAACAAAAGTGTCATACTCTTGGCAGTACATCTAACAAGATTCTAATTGAATTGATAATAATATATATAAAAAGAAATGTATTTATAAATGTAATTGAAATGTGATGTTCGTGTGTGTTTTGAGCTCACCCCATTAAAAGTTGATCCATGCTGTTGTTGTTGTGGATGTTTTTCTTGTTGCTAAGCTTTTCGCTTTTGTTGTTGCCACATGAACAGCTTTTCGACCAGTTCAACTTTGGAATAGTTATTATTTTCATTAGAGCAGGAATTGTTGTCGCTGCTGTTCATGTTGTTGCTGCTGCTATTGTTGTTCATGCTAATGTTGCTGTTGTTGTGGTTATTATTGTGGTTGTTGTTGATGATGTTGCTATTGTTGCTATTGCCGCTGCTGTTGGTGCTATAGCGATAACAATAGGTACCGTTGCGCCAGCTGGCAAAAGTATAGGGCATTGTATTACGATTTGTATTACGATCATTGGTTAATTGTGGCCTAAAATTGTTGCTTAGGTTGTTTGTTGATGTTGTTGTAGCTGTAGCCGGTGAAGTTGTTGTCATGGCTGCTGTCGCATGGTGAAGTTGTTGTTGATGCTGCAGCTGAAACTGTAGTTGCATTTGTTGTTGTTGTTGTTGCAGATGATGTTGTTGCAGTTGTTGTTGCTGCATTTGTTGTTGTTGCATTTGTTGTTGTTGCAGTTGTTGTTGCAGATGTTGTTGTTGCAGCTGTTGTTGTTGCAGTTGTTGCTGTTGCAGCTGTTGTTGCTGTTGTTGTTGTTGAAGTAAGTTACGCTTGAGGAACTCCGATTGTTAATAAGGTCGACTGGCATCCTTTGGCCGCTTCAATTGAACTTTCAGTCTTTTCATGCCAATCTGGAAGCCATTCATGGCCTGAATGGCTGCTTGAGCGCTGGTGGGGTTATCAAATGAAACAAAACCTACAAATTTTCAAAATTGAATGTTAGCAATCGAACTTGAAGTAATGGATATTTATATATATATATATAAATATATATATGGACATATTTAAAAATTTACCGAAACATTTGCTCTGATTTGTAGCACGATCGATGAAGACCTTAGAGCTGATCACATTGCCAAATGGCAGGAACATTTGCATTAATTCTGCATCACCAAATTCTTGCGGCAAATGATAGATGAATAGATTGCAGCCCTCCGGACCGGATATAGAACATCCTGGGAACATCAGAAAATCTTAAAAGAAGACATTACAAAAAAGAAATAAAGTAGAGAAAAGAAATTAAACGATGAGCAAAATCATAAGTTAGAACATTATGAGTTTGTCTGCTGTTTTTGGCTGGTTTTGAGTTTATTTTCCTTTTTTTTTTTTTCATTGTGTCTCGTGTTTCGTGACTGATTTTGTAGACGATTTAACTAAAGCTAATGCGTTTCATAAAACTGCAAAACCAAATAGCAAACAATATGATAAAATATACTCTTACATAAAAGATAAACAAACGAACAGTAACAAAATACGCTTGCATAGGCTAAAATATAACTGTAGACATATTCGTATTCTAAAATGCTTAATGAGCTACCAGTTCTATAGTTCTAGCAATAAAATACTTAAGATTTTAGCTTATGATATTAAGTTCTATTTGTTTATTCTCATGTATTTCATATAGATTTTTTAAAGCCCCATTTGCGAATATCCCTATACAACAATAGTATGATATGAGTTCAGCATAGCCGAGTTTCATGTGTGTGTCATGCAGGATAAGTACTAAGTAAATATATCAAAAATACAATTAACAATTAACTACGCGTAACACATATTGAAAATGAAAAACAGATTTACAAACAAGTATGGGTTAGTTATAGACAGTATACACATTTAAGAATGTGGTACACAGGCTACACACACACTCACACACACACACTCACATACATACATACAAAAGGGTGAGGGAGAGAGAGAGAGAGAGAGAGAGAGCGAGTGACACATACACATAGGTACATCTATATAGCTGACTATAATTCAGATACGTATATATGGACATTATATATGTACGCCTCATTAATGGTGTGCTTGTATCTTGTCTCGTCACCGTTACATAGTTTAAGACAAAGGAACTGAGTAAAAAAAATAAAAGAAAAAACCAAGCGAAACAAAGTAACATAAAATTTTATGATTTTTCATGTGCCGGACCCAGCCCTCGACAACCCGACCCCCGCGCGTTTCAGGCAAATATCTTGAATATACGCCGCCGCCTTTTATGTGATTTTAAGCAGTTTATATGCAATTTTTACGATCTCACATAAAATGCCTTTAAATGCAGCCATTAAAAACGATTTACGCCTCTGGTTCTGCAACCCTTTCGAAAGGGGTTTTGCGATTTTGCCCATTTTCAGTGCATCAAATATAAGTAAGAATTCCAAATAAAAAGAACACAAGTAATTAATTTTTATGGGCATTTCAGTCAAATACGTTTGCTAAAAGAAAATTAAATTATTTTATTAAATTGGCTTTTTCAACCCACCGAAATGCTTACGATATTCAATATATGTTTGTCTACGAAGTACGTGTTTGTGTGTGTGTGTGTGTGTGTGTATCTGAATGGTTAATTTATTTATATATTAATGGAAACATTTATTTATGACGAGTAACGAAATTCTAAACCCTCCGTTTTGCATGAGTTATTCGTTTCAAGCCAAAAGTCAAACACAATATTGAGATATAATACAAAAAGAAAAACTAACAAAGAGTTAGAAACGGAACCAAAGAGAGAATAACCGACAAAATAATAATGAAAAGCTTACCTTCACGCTGAGTGGGTGCAACCGCCGCTAGGGGAGGTGGTAAAGCTTGTGGAAACTGTCCATAGACGGCGGGAAAGGCTGCGTTATATATAAATAATTTTTGTTTTTGGTTTTTACACAAAATCCGAAACATTTATAAAGACAACACAACAGTTAAGTATACGTATATAATTTATGTTAAATTAATAAAGATTTCTTTGGTTTCAAGTTAAACCAGGTATAAACAGAACAAGAAACGATAATAAGTTTACAATCAAAGATGACAGGCTACGACCAGATCCGATCATTATATATCTTTCAGTCAGAAACAATATCGGAAAATTAAGATATACCAGCCAAAGTGGACAACTGGATTTCTAGAGAGTGTGTTACATAAAGTTATAAATGTAGACTTTACGTATGGCATGTTAATACGAATTTCGACAGATTCAAAGTTCGTATAAACATTGTTATGTAAAAAACAAGAAAATATAATAAACGAATTTTATATCGTGTATTCGCAAAGAATTGTTAAACGTTTAACATTGAACAACAAATTTGGATATAAGAAGATCTGCAAATATTCAACATATAATTAGAACAAACTAGAAGAACGAGTTTAAACAGAAAAGCCATATAAAGAAATATAGAACTGTTTTCAAGTGTGGCAATCAATCACTTTGCTTGAGAGGCCCATAGACGAGCGATAAATTGTAAAGATTGATGGTAAAGGATCAACGATTTTTGCTACACTTAAAACGAATTCTGTATTTCTTTTAAAACAAATTAAATATTTATGTATATATAGAAGTTAGAGTTATATATAACACTTTACTAACAATATATATTTATGGCATGACACAACAATTATTAATTATTTCAATAAAAACAATTATAAATGATTGAACTGTTTATGCTGTCTGTTGTTGTTGAATTCCTTCTTTTTTTTTATGTGAATCGCCTGCCTTATAGCGGCATTGTGCTTATGACGATGATAATACAGATCTTGGCGCTAATTATGAGAGAACCTGACAGGTGATTTATGAAATAATATGACTAGATAATGCACGAGAGAGATAAAAAGGGGAAGCGGGATTATGTATGGTAAATTTGGCTAATGATGACATAACAATTTTTCAAATAATTAACATTTGGTGCGTATGAAACTTGTACTATCTATTTAAATTTCCTTTATTTGGGCACAATTATATACGTAGTTCTCTTAGGCTATTGCATAAGGCATAATACAGACTATGGCTAACCCGAGTTTGGAAACTTACCAACTCCTGGAAATGGTGGCAAACCAGGGAAGGCATGTTGCAGTGCAGCAGCATCGCCATTTGGCAAACCTTGTGGTGGTATGGTCAGATGCAGCGGATCTAGATGGGATAATAGAGTGTAATTTGGTTAAACTTGTTAGGTGGTAACTGAAATTGTTAAATGCATTTATGTAAAATAAACAAATTAGATAAACAAAAAATCGTTGGTTTCTTGGCACAAGCAATACAGGATAGGTAGACTTATGGGCGGGCTACTTACGTGGGAATGCCGTTTGTGGAATGCCATTCGTGAAGACACCATCCGCAACTGAAGCGGCAGCAGCGGCGGCTGCAGCCCCGCCGGGCTGGCCATTGGGCGTATTGGCGCCCATATTGAAGTTGGGCATCGTTGGCGAGGGCAGCGACGGCGGCTGGCCGGTGCCATTGAGGCCATGAGGTATTTGCGTTGCCAATGCAGCCATTGGATTCATATAGGCAGCTGCCGAGCCCGGTGCCGTTGCCGCGGCGGCCATCAGAGCCGCTTGCTGTTGTTGCTGTTTTTTTTTTGGAGAAACACAAATGGGCGTAATGAGGCCGTTGGCGGGTATGGGTGAGGAGGGTACTTACCTGCGCGTAGGCGCCGTACGGTCCAAATTGATTAAAGACAAACGGATTCAATAGGTTCATATGACCGGCCATTTGCTGCATGCGTCTTATTTGTCGCTCCTTCTCCGTGTCGGCGTATTTGACAACCAGGCTGGAGGATGCACCCTGAAAATAATTGGAATCAAAGAGTGAGTGAGTGGCATTGCATATTTATTGGCGGCTTTTCCGTTTTCCGCCAGCGCAGGCTATAGCGAGCGGGAAATCCTATTACATGCCATTATTTTGTGCCTTGTCACTTGACGTTGATGTTGGGGTGTTGGGGCGCTGGGGCGTTGCCAACGTTGCCTTATTTTTACCTGTTTCTCTCTCTCTCTCTCCCTACCACCCCACTGCCCTGCCGCTGCTGTGCACTTTGCCATTTGGCTTTTGTTATGCGAGGCGCACTGCTCATTATTATCATATTATATTTTATATGCTTTTGTGATAAACAAGAGCAACAACAATAGCAACAGCAACAGCAACGATAAAAAGCAAAAATACTCGTAAATAACAAAATAATTGGCAACGCACTTCAATTTGCATTTCCATTGAAATCGGCTTACAAGCTGCTCGCTCTTTATAATATAATATAAGTACCTCTCATCATCTACCCATGTAGCCCCCTATCTCAGGCATCTACATTGAGTCATGATGTTATCTATTGTCGGCTCTCATTGATTTCGAAATATTGGGCACAGTCAACAAAGACGGCGCCTAGGCTCTGCTGTGCCTCGCCGCTGTCTTTGGCTTTGTTGCGTTCTTTGATGTCAATTAATTAGCATAATAATGGCCGCTTCACATTTCGCACTTCCTGCACACCACTTAGGCCCCCCCTTTACTTCTGCTGTATGACAATTGAAGCGACGACAACATTTCATGTGCCTCGACATTTTGTTTTGTTATAATTAAGACGTTTTGCAGATGAGTTGGCTGTTTTTGTAATACGAAACCTTTACTGGGGGAGACTGGGAAATGGGGGAGAGAACAGCTTTTATGATTTTGCAAATCATTAATCAATGTAACAATGATATTATGTTGCATAATTTTAGTCGCCCACACTCTCCCCTTTCCAGGCTCTGTTTGTGTTTGTGTGTGTGTATCGTTAATGAGACTATAGCCAAACAGGTGCTCCATGTATATAGTTAGCAGCCTTGCACACAATTTTAATTAATGAAATATGAAACTCAAGTTTATGTAAAGGCCATGATACGAGGTAAAACATTCAGGGAACAGCAAGGTAACCAGGAGCCTGGAGGCAAACCGTCGGCAATGTGAAACTATATTCTCCCCATTTCTGAGCACCCTGGAGCAATCATGGCCATCTCTGGCCCGTTCTTATAATGAGCTTTAATGAGCTGCCAGTGAACATTAGACATTACACGATTACATTTATCAGTCGAATCGGTTTCTCAATAGTGAATGTTTTAGTTACCCGCTTCGGTCTTTATATCCAAAGGGTCTCTGTTATCTTTAAGAATTGAATACTTGGCTAAATGACTAGAAGCCAGTCATCATTAAACGCAAGAAAAAGATCGTAAATATTCCGTTAAATTTTATAAAAATTTAAAGACCATACGAGAGCAACATTTAGTGAATTTTAAGTTATTAAATTATTATAAATATAACAGAAGCCCACATAAACAAGGACGGTCTAAAGGCAATTCTGGTATTTATCATTCAAAAATTTCAATTGTGCCCACTTGAGCAATTTTTTTGATGGGTTTCGTGAAATTTTGTATGTATGTAATTTTAAACGAAGAATCAACAAAAGCTGGCAGCAGCCACAACAAAAATAACAGCACACAATTATTGAAGTGCACTTCCTTTCAATTTTCGCCAACAAATTATAGCATATCATCAACAGCAGCAGCCATGCCAGACACACACGCACACACGCACACACACACACCCACATACAGACACACACACACTCTCATATATGGCGGCAACAATGAGAGCTTTTCGCATTCCCAAGCGGCCTGGCTATACTGGCTGCCTGTTAATTTCATATTTCGAAACATGACACTTTCACACTTTGGCTAATTTAAAAGCATACAAAATGGTGGCCAACACACACGCACGAGTTGTTTTATTGTTGTTCTTGTTGTTGTTGCCTGATTTCGTGACGAATGTGCTTTGTAGTAGATGGTGCCGTCTACGTCGCCGATGCCGTTGTTGCTGTAATTGCCGTTGACTGTTGCATGTGGCACACAAAAGGCGAATCCTTTTCGCGCGTATATGCAAGGCGCGTCCTGCTCAACAACGTCGTCTCGTTAAATTGTCGCATGACACCTCACGAATGTCATCACCATTTGCTGTTGCACAGTGTCGAGAGTCAGCCACATTATTACTGTAATTATGTTGGCCGTGTAAACGTCATTAGGCGTTTTAGTGGCAGGCTACAGAACGTGCCCCAATCGAAGCGCTGAGCGACAATGTAGCTGTCGCTGCACTTGTAAATCTTTCGACATGTTGCACGAAAATTGCAATGCACAAATTACAGTCACTGCACCACGCGCTGAAGTTGCAGGGGCACAAATTATAGAGGAGGTCAGAATAACGAGCACCTATCTAGCACGAGTGAGGGACATGCCTATTATAGAAAGCGAATACAATTTTGGGCAACTCTTCTGTATTTCACACTGTCAATTTTAAAGTCCCCAAGCACTTGCAACTAAAAACATATTTAAAAAGGTTTTTCTTTTAGTTTTATAACTAACTGTATTCATTTCAGAAAATATATCCATAAGTCAATTAAAAAGCTTCTGGTACAAATATCTGTGCTCTGTGTTTTTTGCTATTTTCATTTCTGTTCCAATATAGCTGTTTATATATATAAGCCTATCCCAAATATTCCATTTGCTTCAGTTTTGTTTGCCTATCTTTGCAATTTATAATTATCCCCTATTCCAATGTCTTAGCTTCTATAATTAGCGCAGCTCTTCAATCTCCCAGACAAATAGTGCAACAGGCAATGGCTCGCATGGAACCGCAAAAGCTCATAAATTAATTCATTAACGTCAATTTGATAGCCTTATAATCCCCGCACCGCATGCCTGGTGGCGGGCGGTTGCCAATTTGGTTTGCTAGGCCCCTCCGCCTCTTCCTCATCCTCCACCCTCCTCTTAAAATCCGGCAGTGTGCAGACTTGGAAATTATGTTTGCCTTCGTTGGGTTGTGTAAGTCAGCCGAGTCAATATGAACGTTTATTATATGCTATGTGTGCAGTTGTTTGGCTGGCACTTCCGTTTCCTGAAGACGACGACACGAAATTCCCATTCAAGTGAATTGCTGCGCCAAATGAAATGAAAAATTCAACACGACTCTGGAGGCAAGCAGCACGCGCCAGCAGCAGGCACAGCCCAGGCCCAGGACGACTGATTCTACTGACTCGAATGCAACAGGCTGCCTGCTGTCGACTGCCGTCTGGCAACTAACAAGCCAAACTACTAACAGGAGGCCGTCGTCAGTTCTGGACTTGTGCCAGGCGGCACTTTTGGCAGCAATCGCATGTTGCATGCCACTTGCTTTGCGGCACGGTCCTGCAAACGTGACGCCATTAGCTTGGGCCTTTCTCTGGCTTAGTGGCAAGCGGGGTGGAGTGCTGAGGCCTTACGATTTTGGCACTTGGCAATATATATATATACATATATATTTTTTTCGCTTTATTGTTTTTTAATGCGCGTCGCTCAAAGTTTTTGCCAGTTTTTTGGCCATTTTTTGGCAAAGTTTCAAACCGCACAATGCCAATAGCTAAGTGAACTCAACGCTGTCGTTGGCCAATTACAATTGAAGGCTTACAGTGCATTTAAAAAGTAATTTGTCTGCCAGCCGCCCCGAAAAGCCGCGCACGTATTTATATTTAAATGCAAATGCAGCCAAGCCCGGCACACAGACGCAAGCAAGGAGGGCACAACTGGGGGGCAGGCGGCAACGAGTGCACATGATAAACCTGTTGGCTGTTGGGCTCTGGGGCCCTCCAGACATGACTGTAATCACAGTTACCCGGCTGGCAGTCCTGTTGCCGTGTTCACTAATGGTGGCTACAAGCCGCAAGCACTGAACTCCTGCCCCACACGGCCCTATAGCCTAGAAAGCGGAACGCTTACACGGGCGCTGATATGCAGGCAGCCAGAATACACACACTCACACACACACACACATAATAAACTGCAACGTGCTCCTGCGGTCCTGGGCTGGAGTCCTTTACGTGTCTGGGGACATGTTAACATGGCAGTCGTGCCAAAAAATTATTATTCCCGCCTCGATGGCGCTTTTTGTGCGACGACTGTGAGCGTCGATTTGTCAACGCCTAAAAGGACAACATATTTCTCTCTCAATTTGCAGCACAGCAAAAAAATTGAAAAATGTCTGAACAAAATAATACAAAATAAATACAAATAAATAAAAAACTAGCAAATAAATGGGCGGCAAATGGTTTTAACAAATGAATTATATATGTATGCATATTGCTTCTTTTTTTTTTGCATATTTTTGTATATGCCTGTGCATGATTTGCATACAATAGTTTATTTTTATTATATTTTTTTTTTTATTATTTATTTTTTAAGCAGCCGCCGGCCGCAGCTTGTTTTAATTGCTAAATGAATTGGCCCGGCACGCATTTGTTTAATGGCCAGCCATTTTTATATATCAATTAAAGCAGCGACAAGAAAATAAATACTTTTCATTTTGTTGATTTTATTTATTTAACACAAAAATGTGCGCGCATAAATTTAGAGCCAAATGGATTTGAGCTGCGCCATTCATGGGCTCAAAATAAAACATATAAGCTTAATGGAAAGCGTAATTTAAAGGTGTTAAATTATACGAGATCGGCAGTAAACAATTAGCTGTGTGGTATTAATATTAATGAGTTGCCAAAGTACTGCGGATTATGATCTGCCGCTCAAAAGATCTATTTGATTCGCTTCTGAGTCTATATCTTCTATATCAAATTCAAATTTCTTGTATATTAATTTCTCAGAACTGTATTATTATTAGTATTATTTCAAGATTCGAAATTCGTAATGAATACACGATTATTTTAGCCTTTTGGCAACTTTTTTAGCTATGCCTAAAAAATATTCGTTGTAGTCCCGCGAATCGATGAAAATAACAAGCGC